GTGTCGCTTTTGGTAACTTGCCCTCTGCTTCAAGTTGTTGCATCTTTGCCTCATGTTCACCTAGTATGTTGTAAATTTCCCATGTCCTTTTTGCCTTTGGGCTCTGGTCGCCCATCTCAGGTAACCTATATCCTAGAAAGATTTCGTCATAGTTTGTATTTGAGTCTTCGCGTATTGTTTGCATGACTCTTTCCTGAGTTTCCGGTTCAAGCTCTTCAAACAGAGCTTGTCCATATGGAATAAGCTCGTTTCCAAATATATGTTTTTGTAGCCATTCTGGTTTTCTTTCCATGTTACCAACAATATCTTTTGTGAATGGGAAAGCTTTTACCCAATGTTTCAGTCTTGCGTCATTTATTTCTGTAGTTGGTTTTATTTTGTCAAGGAACATGTTTTTCAATACTAACATTTCATTTGGTACTGTCCATTTGAGTTTTCTTAAATATTCATCCCTTCTCGGTTCATTGTCTGCAAAGTAAGTTTTTATGACATTTTGCAAACTTTCGTTTGCAAGGTCATGTACAATAGGTTCTCTTCCTTCTCCCTCCCTAACTTTCTTTCTAAACTCTTCACCAAATATACCATCTCTATGGTTCTGTGTAGTTCTTTGAGATAAATGTTTTAGAACGTCAGGTGTTATATTTCCATCAGCCATGTTCATTTCATACTGGTCCAAAATATCTGCATGTTTCATATCTTTCAATGGCATTAAAGCCGCGCTTAAAATACCAGCTATATCTGGTTCACCATTCACTTCCATTGCGTCTACAACTTCTTGGAATTGTGGTTGTAAGTTTATGAACCACCTATCCGGATTAGCTTTATGACCCCATCTCATTGTAGTTCCATAGTCTGCAGAAACAAAAGTAGGTTTGTTTCCATCTTGGTTAGGTTCTGAATGAACTTTAAACAATGTTTCATTTCTATATGTTTTGTTGAAATTTAACCTTTTATTTTCACCGAGTTCATCCAAAGATTGAACGTTAAATGCTCGTAAGTAAAAAGGGTTGTTGTATTTGTGTACATTTTCTTTCAGTACTTCCATTCTATGCTGAATATTTTCATCTGGTGTTGGAGTCTTTGTATGTCGGCAAACATTTTTCGATATTCTTCTACTATGTCAGCCGAATTTTTTTTAGACTCTTGGAAAGATTCCATATTCACCTCATACTCTTGTTGAGGGTCAAGATTTTTCGGCTGTTCCAAATCTTCATCTAGTTCTGTGAAGTTAGTTTCCAAAGGAGGGACTTGTTCGTTTCCTTCAGGCTCTTCTAGCTGTTGTTGCTGAACTATTTCTTCCATGTCTGGTTGTATCTGAACTTCTTCCTGTGGAGTTTCTTGTACCTCATCTGCTGGCATTTCATATATTCCGAGACTGTTTTTAACAAGTTCCCTATCTAAGTCATCCGGACTCATAAACCTTTCTTCTTTCGTTCCGTCTCTATTTTTTACGCGTTTCATGAAGAGAGTTGAATTGTCATTTAGCTCTGACACCAAATATCTCGGAGTAAATTCAGTCATGTCATTTGGATGATATGCTATTAAATCATATCCCTTAGCGAGCTTGTATTTTCCAGGTTTGAAATTATATCCCATTTGGTGCTGAGCCATAAAGCTAAATAGGTTCGGGTCAGTATTTCCTTCCTTGAACTTTCTAATAGCTTCTTTATATCTGTCACTAAAGTCAAGAGTATCTGGGTAACCATAGTCTTCTTTAAGCATTTTTAAGAAATCTTGGTTTCCTTGTTCTCTACTTCTTTTATGTCCTTGCTCTGTTTGTGGTTGTTGCTGTGCTGGTTGTGGAGGTGGTTGTTGTGCTGGTTGTTGTTGTGGTGCTGGTTGTTGTGTTGGTTGTTGTTGTGTTGGTTGTTGTTGTTGTGCTGGTTGTTGTTGTTGTGTTGGTTTTGGTGCATGCCTGTGTCTGTGTCCATGTGACGATGTAAATGTTTTAGGTAGTCCTGGTGCAGGTGCTTCTCTTGGAGGGTTTGGTGGTATATAGGTTCCACTAGCTAGTATATAAGTTCCACCAGCTGGTATATATGTTCCACCAGCTGGCACATATGTTCCATCTGCAGCGTAATGTCCTACCTGACTTTTCGTTTTTAAGAAAGCATTTACTAGGTCTGTTTTGGTCTGTTGTAACTCTTTTTCTTGACTTTCCACAACAGTTGCTCTAACGGCGTCATAGGCACTTTGAACTGCCTGTCTCGTTGCTGCATCTGTTATTTTCGTCATATTTTGTGCTACTTCTCTTAACTCGTTGTCGAAACCTTCAGACTTCAGTTTCTTTCCAGATGAGAAGTCGTTCACTAGTTTCACCTTACTATGAAGAGCTTCGAAGGCGTTCTTAAAGTCAGCATTTGTTAAAGCTTCATTTGAACTGTCTTCATCCGCTTGTATTTTTGTCCTTATTGACCCTATAAGTTGGGCTGCTTTGGCGTTGGCTTGGGCATCTAACCAGTCATTGTTAGCTTTTATATATTCTGCGCTTTTCATTGCCTTTTGCATGGCTGCGTCGTTATTTTTACTTTCTTGTGCTAAGTTTTCATACTGTACGGTTTGGTTTTGCAACTGTAAAAGTTTTTCTGCCTTTACATTTGCTTCAACTTCTTTTTATACTCATCGCTATCCATATATGTCTTCAGGGCTTTTTGTTTTATCTCTTCATCTTTCAGTACTTTATATTGAGTAGTATGGTTTTTCAAATTTACAACATCTTGTTCCATTTTTGCTACTTCTGCTGCTTTTTCTGACACTTTTTTCGCATATTCCTCTGTACTTAGTTCTTTCAGTTGTTCTTCTTTCTTCTTTTTCTCTACGTTTAACTCATTGAGTTTCTTTGTGTGTCTGTCATATTCTAGTTTCTTTTCGTTTTCACTTATTTGCTTCTGTATGTCTATGTTTGACTTTTTGACATCTGATATTTGATTTTTGAGTGAACTCAAATTCATTTGACTTTGAGGGTTATAGGCTGTTCCGTCTGCGGCTCCACCATAGCCTGCCATTTTCGCTAAAAGTGCCGCTCTTAAACCTCCACTCTGTGCACCAAAAACTCGGTTTAAAAGCATAGGATTGCTTGACATTTGTTGCAACATAGTGGGTCATTCATCATTTGTTGTTGCAACTGTTGTTGTGGTGTCAGTTTTACTATTGGATGTTTCAATGCTCCCTTCCTCTTACGTATATTCTTACGTAGCTTACGTGGCATTTTAAGTGAAGTAAAAAACGGTTTTTGACAGATGTTTATATGACACTTTTTTGTTCAGCACAAAAACTACTCGGTCAAAGTGTTGTCAGTTTTGTAAAATAACCGTCTTATCTCATTCTATAAGGGGGAAAGTCTTCTCAAAGTATACTTCCTTGGAACGCCGGTAACTTTTCCTGTAGCGACGATAGACCCTTACTTGTCCGGACATAGTTATACTATTTTGAGCCCTCTACCGAAAAGTCAACGACAACGACTTTCAAAAATTTTAAGGGCTAGAAGGCACGAAGTGCCTGGGAAGCCCCCTTCACCAAAAAAACCTCATTTTATACCTCATTGTATACTAAACATCTTCAGGGGCTAGAGGGCACGAAGTGCCTGGAGGCCCCAGTCCCTTTTTTTTTTTTTTTTTTTTTTATATGCAAGCTATATTTTAAATATGGAGCAAATCGGATCGGCGAAAGGAGTTTAGTTACCTTTAAAATTTATATAAAATTTTTAAAAATCATGACCTAAAAGCTAGTAGTAGTTAATTTTGTAATTTTAGAATTAATAAAGAGTTTAATTTCTTTTGTATTTTGAAGGAAATGCAATGTAATAAAAAGAATTTAATCTTTCTTGCGCTCAACACCAAGGGCACCACCACGGCGGCCAGTAGACTTTGTGCACTGACCACGGACCTTAAGGCCAAGACCATGGCGGATACCACGTTTCATACGCATCTTCTTCATGCGTTCGATTTCAGCACGGATGTTAGCGCTGAGATCTGTAGCAACCCAATGAGTGTTTTGGCCTGTAGCGCGGTCGAAGCGACGGTTGAGCATCCAAACCGGGATCTGGTGCTCTGTTGGGTTCTGGATGATAGAAACGATAAGTTCTTCCTCCTTTGGTGTGAGTGTACCAGCACGGCGGAGTGGGTCGAGGCCAGCGCGGCGAACGACGGCATAGGCGAATCTACGGCCAATACCAGAGATGTTGGTAAGAGCGAGGTAGAGTGGGCGGCGGCCATCAACGTTTGTTGAGAGCATACGGACCATATCACGGAAAGCTGCTGGATCAGTAACTTCGATCGGCATTCTTGAGAAAAGAACGAGCCATGACACTTTACAACTATTCAATTTTAGATGATAATCTAAGGAATTATTCGCGTTTTTATATTGATTATGGAATCTCTATACTCTGTATTATTAATAAATCTACTAAAAATCAGAAATTCTAATGCTTTTTAAATTTCCATTTTCAATCAATCTAATTTGACATTGTTGTGAAAGATATTAGTAACTGAATATGTTATAGAATTCTGTTTGTGGTTTGTAAAGATGTATAATAAGATAATCGCCATCATCATAACTAAGACCAGATGAACAATGCATGTAACCATAAGTTCGTTTGATGTATTTCTGTTTTTGAGAATATGCGAATTATGACCATTGGGTAATTGCAATATTTAAATGATGATCAATTGATGGAAAACGTCTGCATCTTGTTGATGGTTCCTTTGATCTAATATGAATAATTAATTCTTTTATCAAGTGTAATTCTCATATTTGAAACTAATTCAAAACAAATTCCTTGAAAATTGCAATTCATCTAACTTTGAACGGTAGCAATTAATGTGCACGCTGTTTTAACATATTATGAGTGTTAGAATGTCAAAATAGTATTGCAATTTTTCAAAAATTTTTAAAAATGTCTTATATAATGTAACGTTAGAATAAGATAGTAAAGACAATAAACTCTATTTTTATTTCATTCAATCTGAACAAACTTGATTTCTATATATAATTTTCAATAATTATTTTGTTAAACTGCCTGGTCCTGGTTTCTCTTCTTTTGGCTTCTTATCTTTCTTTGGTTTTTCAACTTTGAATCTAGGCTTTCCACGTAAATCTTTAAGTCTTGTTTTTTCAGCCATCTTGAGCTTGTCAATATAGCCCTCACCACGTTCGATGGCCTTTGCTCTTCTCTCCTTAGCCTTCTTTGACATGTTTTGGAGCTTCTTTTGTCTATTCTTTTCGGCAATGCTCTCAGCTGTGTTGAGTTTAAGTGGACTTAATGAACCAATTGGTTTATTAGCAGCCTTACGAGCTTCCTCCTCCTTTTGCTCTTGAGTTTTCTGCATAGCAAGCTGAAGGCCAGAGAAATCCATCAGAGATTTTAGAATTTCAATCAAAAATAATCGTTCAAAATGATCTTTATATCTTTATTCATTCTCTCCGTAAAATATAACCCTTCAGATGATCCAAAGAGTGGAATAAAATGTAAAGGTCCTCATACATTTGTTAATGGTACTGGTAAATGCGAATGTTCAGCAGATTTTCCATTCGGTGATCCTTCATCCGAAATTGGATGCTGGACTTGTAACCCGCCTTGTGACTTGAATGCACATTGCTATGGACCAGATCAATGCAGATGTAATGAAGGATTTATTGGTGATGGATTAGACGTTTGTGAGAAACCTGTTCCAAGTTTAAAGAATTTCATACCAAAGTCCGGTTCTGTTAACGGAGGAGAAAAAATTACTCTATTTATCAGTGTAATTGCTCCTAATTACACAGCAATAAAAGGTTTTTGCAGAATAGGACCTATGATTTATGATGCAATTTCCGTTAATACAACACACATTACATGCATAACAGATAAAAGTAAGCCTGGATCTTTCCCTGTTAGTGCTAGTTTCGATGCAGTTCATTGGTCAACGGATAACGCTACTTTTACATATAATGCTGACGGTGCCACCCAAGTATCTATCTTCTTTGGCCTGTTCTCCACATTCTTAATTATACTTCTCGGATATATGATTTTTTATTATCTACAAAAGACAGATAAATTTATGGAACAAGCCGATGAAGTTCTTCCATTGACAAAGTGGCATATGAATACGCCACATATTACGCCACAGGCTGAGCAAACCTGGTTTGATTTCTTATGGAATATTATTATTGAATAATCCTTAAGAAACTATGGCATTTTCTTATATTATTTGTTTGTTAATAAATTTTGTTCTATTGGTGTTTATTTATAATCATTTTTATAACAATTATCACGAAAGAGAAGGACTGACACATATTACTATGAATATTTCATGTCAGATGTGGTAAGTCTGGTATCAGGAGCATAAAAGTATATGTTAAAGCGTTCATTTTATATCTTACTAAAATTTAGCACCAATTTATGAATGAACAGTTCATTGAACTTTGTTCTTCTTTCTTGCCCCATGAAGTTCTCAGAACAAATCAAAAAGTAAACAACATTTCCCATATATATAAAAGTGACACAAAAATTGAAGATTTTTATTGAGTTTTTGATACCAGGTTTCATGTAATTTTTTAACACTGTTCATTAAATTATATCCATTTTTGAGAAGACATTTAACTCGCATTAATGGATATGTTAAAATAAAATGATGCCGAAATTACATTTGTATAAATTTCACTAAAATTCTAATAGTTGTAACACGCTTATGCATGGAAGTCTTGTTAACTCAAGTTAAATGACCATAAAGGTTTCAAACAAATACTTAATTATATCACTTTTTCCCGATTTAGTTTATTTATCCCAATATTATATTCAATTTCATTCAAAATACCGTTTGAATTTCAAATACACTAACAATGAGTGCTCCTAAAATTGGTAAAGAAAATGGGGTCCCTGTTAATCTCCCAGTTGACGTTCCAAATGAAATAAGGGTTCTTGCCCGGGTTACTAATTGGCAAATGGTAGAAGATGAAAAACGAGATCATCTAAAATCAAACTTTGATGATTATGATAATTCTAATGTTTTTATTTCTGGTGATATAATTTCAATTTGCATGATTGATGGAACGGAAAGGGCGGTATATAATCATAAATCTTTTCAATGGTCTGAATCTTATGATGGAACATTCTGTGAATTTATGCCAAAAGATGATACTCAGAGAATATTCCTGCCTGGTGATAATTCAGAGCGTACTTTCATTGCTAACTATCCTAAAATAGAATATATATATAGATTGGTAAATTTAACAAATCAATCTCAAAATGTAGATATATTACAAAGTAATCAAAGCAAAGCATCAAGATCAAATCCCACTGTCGCTTTAGATTTTAGACATCTTTTAGCTAAAATACAATTATACTTTCCAAGATTTTCAATTCAAAAAGTCACCCTTACCAATCAACCTTCGGTTTATTATAAATCCTACGATAGCCAAGATAGTAATAGTTATATTAGAAAAACAGATGAAGTAGACAATATCACTATGTTGTGCGAAGATGAAAAATTCACAGCTATTTTAGCTCTATTTGAAATAGAGAAGAACCAATCTTTAATAATAAATACAGGAGAAAAAAATTTAACAATTCCTCTTCAAGAGATATTTTCAGAGCTTAGACCAGGATATTTTTATAGTTATTCCATCATACTCGAAAAATATCTCCTTATGGCCAGAAAATATTCATTTAAACCCAGCATAAGTAGTGTAAATGCTATTTTTATGTCAAGGGTTTTTCGATGATATGAATTTTGGATTAAAATATCTATTAAATTTATGAAATAACATACTTGAATATATCTGCTGATTCGGTCATATTTCATCCAAAATATTTTGAATCGCATCCACCTTGCAAAGAGAATTTTGCAGATATGAATGTGTTTCCGAGATTTTCTCAACATGATTCGGCTACACTATTTCAAATCATCAAAAAAAAACTTGTTTAACTCCATATTTTTAAATATTTAACGCTTTTATAAGAAGCCGGAACCTTGGCTTACCTTATTTCGAACTATTTTGTAATCTGGCACTGATTTGTGTTGAGAGAATTGTTAATGAATAATTCTAGCCAAATTGAGTGTAACAGTGGATATGCTCTTATTGGTTCAGGCCGGTTAATTTTTATATAAATGAACTATATTGCAAAAGTAGTGAGTGAGTTGACCTTTTGAAATGCAGTTTAAATACACATTTGACATTCGAATGGATCTTGTAAAATGTTTTGAACCTATTCTTTTATATAATATCATAAGCTGATTCATTTTAGATTTAAAAGATGAGGATTTTGTGAATTCTCCAAAGATTATTTTTTAAACGTCCAGTTGAGAATTTTCGATGAATGATCCTCACCTTGCGGGGATCCAAGCATCATTATTAGAAAAGGATAACAAATTAAAGCAGCTCAAGGAACAACTTAGCTCACTCACAGAAGAATTTGAATCTAATTGGAATCAAATTGCTGAAAAAGATAACCAAATTGAGCAACTAAAGAACCAAATTGCAAGTGCAAAGGCAGAATTCGAAACACAGCAAGCTGCAGTAGAATCTTCTAATTACTTACTGAAACAAGCAAGTGAAAGATTAACAAATTTAACATCAAAAGTTACATCAATTCAAGATAACATGCATAACTTACAAATGGAAATCAATAAATATGATTTCCAAATCAAAAAATTAAATGAAACGCCATTACCAACTGCAGTGATCCCTATTCAAGATGACGAACTAACAGAATTACAAGAGCAGGTTAAGGATGCTGAATCACGCTTTTATCAAGTAAAAGCACTTGTTCAACAAGTAGGACAAGAATGCAAGAATCAAATTTTAAGACTGAATGAAGAAATTCGCGCAGAAACAGATGAAATTAATTGTGAATATGCAGCTTTACAACAAAAAAATACAGAACTCACGCAATCTATCAAAGAAGTTGAAAATGCAAGAAAAATTGAACTTGCTCGAATTGATGCTGAAAGAGAACAACTTGAAAAGTCAAAGATCCCTACAGAGCAGTATGAAAATCAAATTGCACAGTTGAAGAAGGAAATTCATGAATTAGATTTACATATAATGGATTTAGAGACCAAAATTGAAAATGAACAAAAAGCCGAAAAGGTAAGACAAGAAACTGCTGAAAAACTTCAGCAACAGATAGATGAAAAAAGGAAATTATCTGCAGAATCAATAAAGAATTCTAAAAATATTCTTGCAACGCAAAACAAGGAATTACATAAATTGAAGTCTCTTATTGAGAAACAGAACGAAACTAATGAACGTCTAAAAGCAGAGCTCGATGCTTTACAGAGAGGAGAAGCTCAAAAGCCTGATTTTGATTTGATTTTTGAGCAAGATAAAAATGAAATCCAAAGAAGATTTGAAGCCGCGATGAGAAAGGAAATGAAAGCTCAAGAGAAAATTGGAGCACAGCAAAGAGAAATAGATGCACAAATACAGAAAAAGAAGCAGACGATTAATCAATATAATCAAGTTATATCTGATTGTCTTCAAGAAGCCAGGAAAATGGCCCAAACAGCACATGAAAGAAGGCAAAAATGTAAAATTTTATCTGCTCAATTAAAACAACTTCAAGGAGAATATGAAGCACTGCAAGCTAAAGCTAATCAAAATATGCCTTCTCAACCGGCAAACTCTAAAGCTCCTTCATCTCCTGTCATTAAATTACCAGCGCCTAAATCTCCACCAAGAAAATCCGAACAAAAGAAGCCTCCAAAACGTCCAGTAGATTTAAGCGAAGTTGAACAACTTTCTAATGAATTAGATAAATACGGAAAAGAACTGTCCGCTGCCGAAGAAGAAATGAAACAGTTAAAGAATGAAGAAGAATCAATCTACAAAGAAATTGTAAGACTGAAGAAAGAAAATGCAGAATTAGAACAAGGCCTTGAAAGATATGATGAAGTTTTTCAATATCATAAGATACTGAAACAAGAATCTGCATCTGCAGTTAGTAATGATAAAACATCTAAGAGTACATCAGGAAAGAGGAAATAATTATATGTAATTTCACTATTAGAGTGTGTTGAATATTGTTAACGTAAATTGTTTGTTTATATCATAATGTAATTCTTTATTTATCAATATACCATAAATCATATTTTTTTGGATTAGGATGATTAGAAACATTAAATATTTAGACGAGTTAATCATAATATGCAAAGATTAGGTCTTATTAAAGCAAAATTTCAAATGGGCAAATTAATTCAAAGAATTGATATTGATTTATAAACCAAAGAGTAATAAAAACGATTCAATTATATAATATAAGTTTAATAGGATAAGCTTATAAAAAAGAAAAAACAAACATAATATATATTCAAAAATTTTGAACAATAAGTAGGATTTTTGTAAATGAATTTGGGTAAAATCGAAATTAGTATTAGAGATAAGTCGAAACAGGAGTTAAAATTTTTTGATAAAATAAACTAATGATAGAGCTTATGTGTGAGTAAAACTTCACTTGCATGCTGAAAATGAGTAATTTGCTAGACCATTTGGCGGGTTTCTGAAAAGTTTGCAGATAATTAATCTTGCTTTTAGGAAATCGTTAATCCATTGCTCCGTAGGTGGGCTTTCTAACTGCCACAGTTGCCTTTGGAACTGTCTGCTTAGCTCATCAGCTATCAAAGCCATAAAAGATTGTTTTGAGTTGTATAAGATTGCGTTTTCCCAAATTAGATTGACATCTTTCTTGAATTCATTCAATGATTTATACTGTGATGTCACGAGTTTGTTTCTAACTGTGCTAAAATCACTTGGATTTTTAATTACATCGTAATAATCGGGAACTCCATCTGCAATTGCATCAACGGGCTTCGCAAACATTGCAGATATTGGGTGCTTCAGTAGATTGTCGATTATTTCTATACACTTAAGTCTTTGAACTTCAGTGAAACTCATTATATAAAAAATGACACTTTTTTGATCGAGAAATGTGACAATTAGTGGAAAAAAGATTCAATATGAGTGACGAAGATATTCCTATTGAGAGTAGCAATAACGAGGATCCAGAGGATGACGAAGTCGTTTTAGATGACGCAGACAATATGGATATTCAAGTTCCTGAAGCAGAAAACTATCAAGTGCAAGTTGTTCAAAACGTAGAACCAAAAGATGAAGTTTTGACGGAACTTAAAGAAAAATATAAACCATCCAATGCTGGTGAACTTAGATTAATCCAGGACTTGAAATCAATTAAATCAATGCCTGCTAAGGATCTTGGATTTAGTGCTGAGCCATATCAAGGACACCTCTCTACATGGGAAATTCATTTGTTCGGTTTTGAACCAAAGGATTCAATTTATCCAGATATCCAAAAATACAAGCAATTGACAGGAAGAGACTATGTCCAATTTATGGTTCATTTCCCACCTGATTACCCTATTAGACCACCTTTTGTTCGTGTCGTTCAGCCACGTTTCAAATTTCACACTGGTAGAGTTACGATAGGCGGATCAATCTGCGCAGATATACTTACAATGAACGGATGGAATCCATCTTACGATGTTTCCTCCTGCTTCTCAAATATTTTTGCAGAGATTTTCTCTCAGAATCCACAGATTGATTTTTTAAACATGACTCCATACTCTAAAGAAGAAGCTTATAACGCATATATTCGCGTCGCTAGAGAACATGGATGGAAACCATCAGATTTCTCTCCCAAATAATTATTAAGTTTAAATATTTTAATATTGTTCATAAAAGGCCTTAATTTTGCCAATTAATGACTATTGTAACAAAAAATTTTGAATTAAACATTTATTTTCAGAAGACAATTTAAGAATTTATGGAAAATGGTTTGACTCACTGCCCAATTTGTTGGACAGTGAATTGTAAACTCTTCATCTCTGATAACTTTCTCAAGCTGAATGAAAATAAGGTAGTCACAAAATCTAAGTAGTGAGGCTCTCAAAAATTGAACCGTACTCCATACAAAATTTGTGTACCCTCACTACTTAGATTTTGTGGCCTTCAATTGAGAGGTTAGTTTTGATAGAGCACGTTATAAAATTAAAAGGTGAAAATAAATAAAATTTAAACATTTAATTATATATAATGTAAGGAGTGTAATTCCAAATTTTCTAAAAACTATTCAAATTTGAGCATTTTTTTGGAAATAGTTAATCTAATATGTACATCTAATAACAACATGATTCATCACCTTTTCAAGCTCTGCAGTCAATTTTTTGAAATTTGATTGAAATAAACGTAGCAAAAATTACATTTTATTAGGGAATATATGAGTTTCTCTGGAAACAGGCTGAGAAATTTTAAATTTTGTCCAATCAACATGAATGCATTGAGAAATTTGGATTGATTTTCTGGTAGAATCTGGAACAATTCAACCATGTATAAATGGATCATGTAATCATCATGAAATGTTAGTGTTAGAGTTCAAAAGAAACAGAATGAGTGGAAATCAAACACAATCTGAATAATTTTAAACGTATACAATCTTTAAGTTTGTATTTAGAATTCTACATATATGATTGTGTAATTCGTTCTTTCAAATTTTCGGATTCAGGCATGTTTTGATAAAATTCATTCCCAAAAACGTCAATTAACAATTAAATTTAGTGTATTTTAAATATATATACGTATTATATTTTATAAATTATATTAAATTCGCAAAATTTTAAGTTTTAAACAAAAATAAAAAATGTTCAAAATATGAAATTATGCATAGGATATTAAAATTTACATGTTAGCAATTTTTTTGAATTGCTTTCAATTTTCATATTGAAATTTTTAAGATTTTTTTTCTGAAATAATAAGCAAGAATATCAACCTAAATAATATTAAATTCCATGCGTTAATTTCCCCTCAAAAGTCATTGACCGCCTCTCAATCTAGATTTTGTGAGTACTTTATATGGTAAATATTTTTATTCGTTCTCCATCTAAGTATTAGAGACTTTTCAATATTAAAAATAATTAATCTGCATCAAGTAAACAAATGTGCTTACTATTTATGTCTAATATTCGGAATGTTTTGGAGTCAATTTTTTTGGTTCCATGATGAAAGTAGCAGTTTGTTCATTATTCAGTCATCTGTCTCATATTTTAACGATTTTGCATCGCCAAAGGTCTTTCACGTACTTTGGTCAGAGAAATCAAGTCGAAAACCATGAAATAACAAGGAATGGAAAAGAAGTTCAATGAAGTTTATTGATCATTTATTTGAAGCATATAGAAAATGATGTTTTAGTCAGCTTTGAGGGGATTTGAATAGGTTCTACCGTATTCTCAATTCAAAATCCCTTGAATTTTACACTCAAAATTTTAAATGAACAAACCTCACAGAACTAGCGCCGCAGCGACGTTCGCTGAAATAGAACTTCCTCTTCAAGATAGAAAGCTTAGTGATTTACTTCCAAATGATTTTATCAGACAAATTGGTTTTGATCCAGAAAGTTTAATTTTCAATACACCAGATGTTTCAAGATTTAAGCGCCGAGCAACAGATCCTTGTTTAGTACAATTTAACAGATCGAAACCGAGTTCAAGAAGAAATTCTCAGTATGATAGTTATCTTATTATGGATAATACAGGAAAGAGTCTATTTGAAATTGCCAAAAAAGGCGAAGTACTTGAATGCTATTTAGTCGAGTTATCAGATGTTACAGTAGATGCATTTGCAATTAAACATTTATCCCAGCACGCAACAGATAGCGTTTTTGTACGCGATGGACCGTTTTTACGTCTAGGAAAAATCCTCAAAAGGATAAAAACAGATGAATGCGATAAAGAAGCTTTACAAATCATTTATCATGACGAAGACGGTTCAATCAACGATTATTTCGGAAGCTTAACCCAAATTGTTTCATCTGTCGCACCTGCTTTCGCTGTACAATGTAATTGTACTCTGAAAATTTTAGACGTTGAATTCGTTTCTTACCAAGCTAGAGTTCTTATACGCACTAAAGTGGATAATGTTTCAGATCCTATGCTTGCTGAACTCCTTCAAAAGCTTATTACAGTATTTATGTGCCCTGTAGAAATTTATTCTGATTTATAATGAAAAGTATATGTTGTTTGTATATTAGATATCACTGATTTATAATTTTGTTATTTTTTATAATAAAACTATTAACAAATTATCAAATTATTTTTAAGGTAATTTCTCATCGTTTTATGCTTCATAAGCTAAAGCCAAAAATTCAAAGCAGCGATCATTTAAAATGTATTACAATGGGTATTTGGGCATATGAACAGCATTTTCATGTACATTAACTTTGGTTCGGGCTCAGACTTAAATTAATGATAAGCTTTGATAATATAAAGGTTAAATTTTTATGACTATTGATCAACATTCTTCGGATTGGCTGGTTAGATAAAAATTTTACTTGTAGTTCTGCATTAGCAAACTATATGTATGATTATTCCTATTTTCTTAATGTAATAGTATCGAATAACTATAACAGAAATGTAGCTTAGAAAATATCGTTGAATCATTATCGCAGAAATAGTGCTTATTGAAAATGGATCATATACTTATTTATTCTAGCTCAAATTATATTGTAATAATACTATTGTATCATAGATTTCCTATGAAAAATATTCAAAATTGCACAATTCTTTATAAAAAATGTTGAAAAGTAAAGAAGTATGCATGATCGTAAGTGATTTAGTCAAACCATCACTGAGATACTTTAGGACAGTTGAATTATCTTATCATATTGTTTCGAATTGATGGAGCAATCAAAATGAGAGAAATTGTAAAATTTTGTAAACACGTTTTTTTATTTTTTTCAAATTTTTTGTTTCAATCCTGAGAGTATCATAAAATGTCGAGCACTATGAAAATGCTGCGCAAAATTTATCAACAGAGTGATAAAAAGTCTGTTGTGACAGAGCTTATCGCTCTCAGGCCAATTTCACCTGTTGATACTGCTGAATCACATCCATTTCAAACAGTTTTCGAAGATACGAATCCTCCACCTGAACCAGTTGATCAGTTTGCACCTTACCTATCACGAAAACTCACACTTAAAAGAAATGAAAGAATAGAAAAATTAAAAGCAAAAATGCAACAAGCAAAACCAACATTTGTTCTTACAGGATCTAATGCTATGGCTCCTGATGATGAAGTTTCCCAAACTCAATCAGCAATTGTTAGACCAAACTTAGAAAGAAAGAACGATATCTACAATAATTTAACTACAAGAGCTCTTCAAAAGCATATCAAGATGGAGCAATGCTTCGATAAAATTGTATCTCAGTCATCAAGTATGCCTTTACCAAGATTATTCGAAACAGTTTTACAAACTTATTTCCTTGCAGAAAAAGTACTTTTTTATCACGATGTATCATCAGTCAAAGTTTTATATTGTCCATCTACGACAACTTATTGCTCACATGGCCAATGTTTAGTCGGATATTGTCAATTTGCTCGCCAAATTCTTAATATTCCTTGCGCAAGTAGGCACATTGCATATGATGCAAAGGAAGAATACGCAAATTGCCCGCCAGATGCCCATGTTTTAGTTTTTCCGTTATATGATGGTTCTACACATGTAAAAGCAGTCATTGAAGTTGTTCGTAACTCTGCCTCTCCAGCCTTTAATGACGATGACGAAAAATTTGTTGAATATCTCCAAGAAAAATGTAAAATTTATTCAAGATGGCTCTTTCAACCAATTCTTGATGATTCATTTGCAGCTGATCTTATGCATACATGCCGCCTTCGCCAATTCGTTGAATCCATTTCAGATAAGTTGACAAAATTATTTTCATGTCATGATGCAGAAATTTGGATGTACAATAAGACGAAAGAGCAAGTATTCGAGTACAAGCCAGATGCCGATGAGCCAGTCCAAATTCCTGCAAATGATTCTGGAATTCCTGGATTTGCATTAAGAAAAGAAATTCCTGTCTCTTGCATTTCATGCAGAGTTCACTCCGCGTACAACCAGAAAGCTGATGGTAATGGCGATTATTCCGTCCTTGCAATGCCAGTCCGTGATCCAGATTCTCCAGTAATTTACGCATTAGTTTTAAGAGGTAAAAGAGTTCTGCAGTTCTTTACAGATTATGATGAAAAGATTTTAAGTAGAGTTACATCTTATGTTATTTCCGCTTTAGTTTCTGCAGAAATTGTCGAAAAGAACCATCTCGCCCTTGAAGAATCCCTTAGACAGCAGAAACGTCTTAGATCCCTCCTTGAAGTCGCAGAAACATTGGCTGGTCAACTCAGAATGGATGTCCTTATTCCAAATATTATGACAAGAGCTTGTGATCTCGTCAAAGCCGATAGATGTTCACTTTTCCTTGTCAATGATACTCATGATAAGCTCCAAATGTCTTTCGGTGCTGGTCTTAAGACGACAATCGAAATTCCAATCAATGCTGGTATTGTCGGTTGGACAGCCACGAAAGGAGAGATCCTGAATATCAAAGATGCATACGATGATCCGAGATTCAACAGAGGAACTGACTTGGCAACAGGTTATCGTACACTTACAATTCTTTCTGTTCCAATCTTTGATGACAAGAGAGGTATCAGAGGTGTTACAGAAATGATTAACAAATTAGATGGTGTTTTCACTGAAGAAGATGAAAAATTGATTCAAATTTTCAACGTTTTCTGTGGTATTTCAATTGAAAACGCCAGATTGTACAGAGCATCATTAGATCTCACAATGCAGCTCCACTCTTTCAGAGATATTTCCGCTTCTCTCTCTCAATCTCAGACAATCAAGAAATTGCTCGAAGAAATCATCAAGAACACAAGAACTGTCATTGGTGCTGTTTACGCTGACTTCTATATTAGCGAAAATGGCCAGATTCAGTTTGCTCCTTTCGTTCAAGATGAAGATATTGATGAAACATCAAAGAAAGAACAAATGAAGAAAGAAGGTAAATCAGAAGAAGACGCATTAGGCGTCAAACGTGCCATTATTGCCCGGCTCATGCAAGGCGGCGCAGAATACGATGCAGAAGAGAAGAAAGAAGAAGAAATTCGAAACCAAAAGATTCAAAAATCTGTTAATCTGAAAGAATCAATTTTGGACAACAACGAAAAAGATTACGAGAAGAACATGATGATTGTTCCAATTTTGAGTAGCGACAGAGTTGTTTTAGGAGCTGTCGTCATGAGATGGAAGAAGACAATGAAACCTTTCACACACGATGATCTTAAACTTCTTGAATCATATTCCGTTTTCTTGAGTTTATCACTTGAAAGATTCAAACTCAAGAACATTGCACAATTAGGTTCATTAGAAGTTGAAACACAGAACGTAATGACTAATGATGAAAGAACATTAAGTATATTACCAGCCAAACTCGCAATGACTGATGAAGAAAGAGGTGCTTTGTTGTTAAGAAACTTCGAAGCAACCGATTGGAAAGGCATCGCTTTGTTCAAAGTCATCTTTAATGTTTTTGATTACTTCGGTTTGTTGAAGAAGTATAAAATACCAAACCAAGTCATGTTCTCATTTCTTTACGAGATGAGAGATAGCTACAACCCCGTCTTCTATCATAACTGGACGCATGCTGTTGATGTTACTCAGTTTATGTCTCATGCACTGGTTATTGCTAATTTAAGAGAATTCTTTACACAACAAGAAATTTTGGTTCTTTTGACAGCTTGTATTTGCCATGATGCAAATCACGATGGTTTCTCGAACTCGTACAATTTGAAGGCACAAACACCTTTAGGTATTTTGTTCAAGAACCAGTCTGTCATGGAAACTCACCATTGTAGTGTTTCCATTTCAGTTTTGACACATGAAGAATCAAATATTTTCAACATTTTCGATGATGACACATTAGCAGGAATTTGGCAGTTATTCATTGATCTCATTATGGCTACAGATATGGCTAAACACTTTGATATTTTAGATGCAATCAAAGCTCAAATGTTGGCTGGTCATTCATGGAAAGAAGATCCTGAATTCAGAAGATTATTCATGTGTCTTTTGATCAAAGCTGCTGATATTTCTAACTGTGTAAGAGAATTCCAAACTGCTGATAGATGGTGCGATGTTCTTTGCGAAGAGTTCTTCAAACAAGGTGATTTGGAAAGAGCTCAAGGAATGGAATATTCTTCGCCAATGAATGACAGAGAACATCTCGATAAAGCTAAGTCACAAATCGGTTTCTACAAGTCTGTTTGCTTGCCTTTGTTCGAGTTACTTGCTGAAATTGAACCTGCTTTCCAGGTATTCGTTGACAACTGCAAGAACAACTTAGCACAATGGATGCAGAGAGCTGAAGCTAAAGAAGCAGAGGAGAAAAAGAGGAAAGAAGAAGAGGAAGAAAAGAAGAAGAAAGAAGCAGAACTCAAGGCTGTCGAAGAAGCACAAAAGAAGGATATGGAAGAAATGGACAGACAAAAGAAACAAAGAGAAGAAGCAAAGAAGAAACAAAGATATTAATTTTTTTAATATTATTTTTATTATTTTATTTTTCCATGATGTTATTATTTATTATTAAAAAAGTTTTATTAGAACTAATTATATTTCTTTTAAATTGAGTTAATATCAAATCTTATATTTTTTTACGAAATTTGATAGATAAATAGTATGTTAACATACCAATCGAAGAATTTTCAGTTGTATTTACTAATTCGCTAAGACAAATTTTTGCAATAAGGTTGAAAGAATCTATAATCCATGAATTATATATCATTTCAAAGGATTGATTAGTAGGATTGTTATAAAAACTGCACTTGTAGTAATGGAATGAATACAAAATCTGAGAAGTGCTCATTTCCTGAGACAAGATATTGTAAATTCAATAAAATGCGAATTCTCTGTTTTTTGCTGTTATTTGAATAGCTGATTAAGATCCTATTAGAATTACATTTCGTTCAGGATCCAAAATTTCAATGATAAAATTGTGTACGTTTAGTAATGACTGGAAAGGCGAAGCAGTCTCCACGTATTACCCCGAATAGAAATGCAGAAAAAAGTGCAACCACGTCATCAAAAAAGGTCACACCAACAGGAAAATCTGCTTTGAAGTTAAAGAACTTATGCTCCGTAACTCCGCCAACTCGAAATGCAAATACAAAAGAAGAAGAAAAAGTTGCAGAGCCATTATCACAAATAGAATCAAGAATAAGATGTGAACTTCGCCTCGAAATGTTAATTAGAATGAGAGAAATGCAAGATTATTATGAATCAAAAATAGCCGATCTAACTGAAGCAATGGACGCTGATTCCTATACAATTTCTGCGCTATATGAAAACGGTCAATCTGAAAGTGATTCGTCCAAGAATAAAGTGAATCCAGAAATTCTCGAAGTGACCAAGGAAATTGAAGAATCTGTGGCTAAAAGAGAGGAATATTTCAAACTTCTTGATGAGAAAAAGAGGCATATTGCTGTTATTAATCAAGAAATTCAAGCAACAGAGGCGGAAAATTTCAAGCTCAGAGAAGAAAGAAACAGATTACAGATGAGAGTCGACGCATTACGTAAGCAAAAGCAAGATGAAGATCTTAGGATCAATGCTTCCAATGAAGAGCAAAAAAGAAAAGAATTTCTTGCAAAAGAATGCAAGAATGAAGATAATGACCAGGCAACAAAATCCGATAAAGAATCATCTACTTCCTTGGCACAAAAGAAGACTTCTAAGAAATCTGTTGAGAAGCAAAGCTCAATGAAGGAAGATTCTCGTAAAGCAAACCAGAATAAAGTTCTTTCGCGTGAAACTTCGAAAGCAGATAAGGTTAAGAAACCTGATAATGTTGGTAAGAGTGAAAACTCTAAAAGTGAGCAAAATTCCATAGATTCGAGCAAAAAGGTTTCCAAAGATGTTTCTGCCAGAAAAATAAACGAGAATGCATCGCGTAGCAGAACTAAATTAGATACAGTCGGAGAATTCAATCAAAAGCCTTATCAAATTAAAATTACTCCTCAACTTGTTCACAAAGCAAAGAAAAATAAGGATTAGCTGTAAAAGCTGTCCTGTTAATCATTTGCACCTAATAAATGATTTGTTTGAATTCAAAATCGAGTCTTGATTTAAGTTTTTGTATATCGATTGGATTCGCTGTTGCATGAAATTGTTTGAATAGATTCGTACATTATAATAATAGTGTTTTATTTAATATCGCACAAATAATATAATAATCAAAAATAACTAAGAAAAAATATGATAGTACAGTCGAAAAGAAATCGGTGAAAATACTGTAGTTAACAATTCTATTACCAATTCAAGTCTGGGGGTGGAGGTGGAATTTCGGGTTCTTTTTCTCTTTCGGTTGGTATGAACTGTATTCCACTAAGTAAGAGATCTCTCTTTCGGAGAGAATCTGGCGTTTCTGGAGGTAAACCTGCGATGATATAGCGGAGGGCGTCGTACCATAGATTCATTTCTTCTGTCTGACCCCACATTGAAATTGGTATTCTCGATGTTTTTATTCCGCATGATATAAATTTTATAGGACCGTTTGGAGAATTGACCTGACCCCATGAAACGGACTTAACGCCTTCATCGCCAGTGATGCGAATTGGTTCGAATCCATCTGCATCAAGAAAAACTACACCGTTTAATCTTCTCATGCATGTTGCTGTTGCTTTAACGTGTAATTGCTCTGATTTTGTAAGTTGTGTATTTGTTATAATAATAAATTGTGTACGTTTTGCAACATAGCTTACTTGATACATGTTAAAAAGCATTGTCGCCTTTGCGAGATCTCTTTCGTTAGGTTCCATTAATCTATTGAAAATCTAATTAAAAAGTGACAGTTTCTTTTGTCATGGTTTGAATATATTGCTCATCAATATATCCTTCAACAAAATATATTAAAAGTTTTTGAGTATTTCGGAATTTTATCCAACGAGAACGATCCAAATCGATTTTATAACAATTGTTCTAGAATTTGATTTAATGATATTTTTAAATAAAAAATCAGAATTTTAATTTTCCTAAAATTGAATGATTTTCAAAAACAAATGAATGTGATCTGAAAAAAATTTGAATAAAATTGACACAAAGATCCTGATTACAGTTGTTAAAGCTCGCCTTTCGACTATCGCAAGTACAACAGCTTAGATACTTTACTTGATATATAGATCCGTATTTTTCCCAAGTGAGCGGGGTATCTCCAATCCCAGCCCTATCGTCCTCCCAGTGTCAGTTTTCAATATAAAATCCAAATTTTTTTTTGAAAATAAAAATTTCGAGAAATTTTTCTGATTTTTTTTCTTTGATTTTAATAATTCAAAATAAATTTGGGAGTAAAAAAACACTATTTAATGAAATTCATATGAGTGAATGTGGATAAATACTCTCAAAACATACAATTTATCTATTTTTTCTTTATATTATCAACTAATTAGTGATAATTTTTTTTGGATCAGATTTTTTTTCATTAAAAACATAATATATAACACAACAATGATGCACACATACGTATCTACACATCAAAATATAAAGCTTGTTTTGGTCTGGGCATCCCAACCCAAAATTCTTAATAAAAATTGAATAAAATTGAATACTTGGGGCTGGGATACCCATCCCAAAACCGAATTGAATTTTTTGAATTAAAGAATATATTTATGTATTTATAATATACATGTGATGTCTATAAAAAATACTAAATTCTAAAAAAAATTCAATTTATTCAAAACGTATACTAAGTGATCACTTCATTAGTAGGATCAGCAATCCTACTAAATGGTGAGAACGCCACTAACTAAAAAGGGAGTCCTTGGAGCTCTTGATCTCTTGTCAGTAGAGTTCATAATGAGGCATGGCATCTACTGATTAGAGATCAGAGCAATCCTACCTTACCTTCAGGAGCTACAAAGCTCCTAATCGTTACGAGAGGGAGCCTTGGAGCTCCTGAAGCTCATCAGCAGAGGCTATTTACCATTTGGGCCTCTTCTGATGAAAGATGCGAAACACGTCTACGAACCAGGAGCTTCAAAGCTTCTAATCCTTACTAAAGGGAGCTTTGGAGCTCCTGAGTCTCCATCAACAGAGTCCCAGATGGTAAATGTCCTTTGCTGATGAAAGATGCGAAACACATCTACGAACCAGGAGCTCCAAAGCTCCTAATCCTTACGAAAGGGAGCTTTGGAGCTCCTGAAACTCCTTTTACTATAAAATAGGACGGTTTTTCTTCTGAGGTTCTCATCAAATCTAAGACTTCAGAAGAAAGCTGTCCTATCAATGTATACTTACACTCTCATGGACTACAAGTGTACAATTTTAAGGCAGAGATTATCCGAGGCCTCTCATCAAATGAGGGACCTCGGATAATCTCTACCTTAAGTAGTCAAATAACTTTTCTCACTATTTAGGAACAAAAGAACAAGAGTTGGAGTACTTTAAGGCAAGATTCTTCCGAAATCTCTCATCGAATGAGAGACTTCGGAAGGACCTTGCCAAATCCTTGAAAGCCAATATCCTTGGAACTGAGCTAGAACCAGGGAGAAGTAGCATACTATAGAGCACGATAGTAATCTCGGAAATGCTTATATCGCCCCAAGCACAATATTTAAGAAGTCTAACTCATATATACAAGAAGTCAGGCTGAATAGATATTGTGCATATGGTTTGCAGAACTCTCATGATATTTAAAATTCATGTTATCCCAAAAAGGTGACACTTTGGGTGTATCGTCCATCCCAGGGATGCAAAAATCACATCACCTTGGATCTATACTTGATATGAAAATAACGATTCCAAATCCATCAATAATAAAAATATAAGAGTTTTCGCTATTTGGAAAAAAAATATTCAAATTTTTTATAAAATGTATTAAACTCGCTAAGAAGGCAAAATCATTCAATTTTAAATCCGTAAGATTCATTATCAATAATTATAAAAATAGTTTAGTATGAAATCGTTCATTTTTATTCAAAATTTATTGAGATTTCAAAATACATTTAGATTGTCATTTATTTTTAGAGCCCAATTGATAAATATTTTTAATTTTATTACTCATTTCATTGATAGATCCCGAAAATTCAAAATAATAAAAGGAAATGTAAAAAAAATTAACTCACAACTATACAAAAATTTATGTCTATAGCTCATATTCCAAATTTCTCATAGTTGCTGATATATTACATTTAGTATTTTAAACGAATTAGATACTTTCAGAATCAATAAATTTACAAAATTTCGAGCAAGCTCATTAATGCATTGTTTTGGTCGATGCATTATTGTTAGTATGAATCATGAAGTTGGCTTACGTGCGTTTGCACACAGAAAAAATTTGAAAAGAAAATGCATCAAATTTCTGAAGCAAACGGAAATCATACGGAATGAACGGAATCTCTGTGTGTGCAACTATCGCTGCTGAAAAATTGAAAGAGAATGACTTCCTAGATTGGAATGTAGTTGATTCTTTTGCAGAAGCAGTTATCCAAGCTGAGCCAGAGCTTGGCAAAAGCCTCAAAAATTTATTCGATCAAATACGGGCCAAGCATGATTCAGAAATCGAAGTTACAAAAAGTATCATTGATAACAAATGTGAATCCCTTGATTTGGCAATTACAAAACTTCAAATAATTGAAGAAAAAAATTATTTCAAAGATAATCAAGAAAGCAATGCCATTGTCGCAGATAATGATGAGAATAATGATGCTGAAGATAACAAATCAATAAACTCATCCTTCTATTTCGAAGATGGGGGAATTGTTATAGAAGGAGATCTTGAAGAGGAAGAATCCGAAGCAGAAATGTTTGTATTCGATGCATTTCAGTCTGATACAACAATCAGCAAACTAGAAAATAGTTTCCTTTCAGGAAAGAATCCACTCACAATTTGTATTGGAAATTATATTGAGAAATTGTCACATGGAGATACAAAATCAGTTAAAAAGCTAAAGAAAGATCTTGAAATTTGCAAGCATGAGATCAATAACTTAAGAAAGCAAAATCAGCAATATCTTTCACTTGGATTAGACTGGAAGAAGAAATATCGTGAGCAGTCAGCACAAATGAAAGAAATGATGGAAAATCATTATGAAGAAATTCGTGCTCTTTACAGACATCTTCAAGATCCGAGCCAAATAAACCAAAACAATCAGATCAACAATGCCTCGAAGAAATCTCATAGGTTGAATTACTGATTGAGAGTAATTAAAGTATCTAATAACCTTCCTGAATAAAAAAAAATATTAAATATTGTAATTTTTTATGCCGAAACGTGTTGTAATCAATCATATTGGCATATGCATTCATATGGCTCTTACATTCATAATAGATAATTGCGTCCTGTGATCTGAAATAAGATATGGATGAATTTCATGACGATTACTCCTTATCAAATTTTTCAGTTTCAACGCTGATGAAAAAAAATTAAGAACTGATCAGAATACGAAGGCGCACATAATTTAAATTAAGGGTTTCGTTTTGCTAAAATTGCCACTTTTATAGCATATTTGTTTTTGGATGTTTTGCGAAACCAAAAAAAAAACTATGATATACAATGTGTGTGTAAAGAAAATACTTTATTTACTAGTTAAAAAATCATTTGGTATTGATCAAGTTATTTTTTCTGGATAAGATATTATATGGATAATTGGATAGAAAATACAATTATATAATCTTGTACCTGGTTTAATTAAGCTAATTGTCATCAGAAACTTGTAATTTTTATGAATTTCAGATTTTCTTTTCATTACTGCTTTTCTTAATAGGTCAAGTTCTTATTTACGTTATAAAGTATGATATTTACAAATATCAAGTTATCATGTTTTTTGAGAAATTATGAGAAACAAACAAAAATGAAAAAGATAGGAATAGCAATGAATAGTGATGTGGGTATAGAAAATGTAAGAGATATGAATGCAAAGCAATCAGTATTTAGGATATTGACCATAGATTTCGAAAAAAAAATGCTGCATATTGAGCGAAAACTATGATTATATTATAAGGCTGTCATTTAAAGCATAATGATACTATTCCCTTTTCATTTTAATCGAATAAGATAGTAAAGATTTTTGAATTAGCTAGAAACTGATGAGATGTTTTCACAAATCAGATTTTTAATCTCTATAATGCATAATTCACTCAATATCTCAATTTTGATATTGCGAGATATTTTTGCTATCGGTTTCGCACTTTTGACACAATAGCAAGAGGGTTCTATAAGCATTATTATCAACGTAGAATCTGAATATCATATCAGAAAATGTCGCAAATCTGACATTTACCCGACAAAATAGCAAAAATAATTGAATACTTTTCGCAAAAACTTTAAAAATCGATAAAAATATGAAATATAGATATTAAAGAGACTTTTTATATAATATTCATAAAGATTTTCCAAAAATATGATACCGCAAAATTAAAAAAGTGACGTCTTGAGTGGAGTCAAAGGTCGAAATTGCTAGCTAAATGTTTTTTTAGCGAAATTGCGTATTGTACGTTTTTTTCGCAAACGAAACCCTTATTTAAATGAAATTGGCTGAATTCATTCTGAATTTTTTTGTGTGATACATGGTCACTTTAGATTTTAGATGTCTGTGACCGCCAAAGCACAGCGTAAGGAGAAAGTCATCAAGGAGGCTGTCTCAAAGGCCCCACAAAAGATGAAAAAGACAGCAGCAAAGCAAGAAGTTATTCCTAAATCAAAAGATGGTCATAAGCCAGATACAACACAATTTGATTCAGAATACAATCCAATGAAGGTTGAGAATGCCTGGTATTCCTGGTGGGAAAACCAGAACTTCTTCGAGCCAAAGGCCGCCGACAAGAAGTTTGTTATGATTCTTCCTCCACCAAACGTTACAGGTGAACTTCACCTTGGTCACGCCCTCACAGCATCCATTGAAGATGCTATCACCCGCTACCACAGAATGTGCGGCGAAGAATCCCTTTGGGTTCCAGGCACAGATCATGCAGGCATTGCCACACAGTTCCGTGTCGAAAAGAAGATCTACGATGAGAAGAAGCTCCACCGTGGCGAATACAGCCGCGAGTACTTCCTTGAAGAAGCTCACAAGTGGGTTGAATCCAAATCCGGCACAATTCTCTCCCAGCTTCGTGACATGGGCTCATCCCTTGCATGGAAGGACACATACTACACACTCGATGAGAAGCGCAGTGAATCAGTCATTGCTGCTTTCATCAAACTCTTCGATGAAGGTTTGATCTACAGAAGCGAGCGCCTTGTCAACTGGGATTGCGCCCTCAAGACAGCCATTTCCGATGCAGAAGTCGAATACATTACACTTACAAAGCGTACAAAATTAAATGTTCCAAACCACAAATACCCACAATATCCATTCGGCGTAATGACACACTTCTACTACGAAATCTGCGACAAGGATGGAAAGAAGACCGGCGAAAAGGTCGAAATCGCTACAACACGTCTCGAGACAATGCTCGGTGATACAGCTGTTGCAATCAATCCAAAGGACGCTCGTTACAACCATCTCCACGGAATGTATGTCTGGCATCCAATCCGTGAAGTTCCAATTCCAATCATCCAAGATGAGATCCTTGTCGATATGAATTTCGGTACAGGTGTTGTCAAGGTCACACCAGGCCACGATCCAAACGATTACGAAGTTTACAAGCGCCATCCAGAGATTGGATTAATCTCAATCTTGACACCAGACGGCGCCATTGCTCCAGGCTACGGCCAGTTCTCCGGCATGATGCGTTTCGATGCTCGTGTTGAGATGGTCAAGTGGATGAAGGAGCACGGCCTCTACAAGGAAGAGAAGGACCACGAAATGAGATTAGGTATCACACAGCGCGGCCACGACATTGTTGAACAAGTTATCACACCACAGTGGTTTGTCAACACAACAGACATGGCTGCCAGAGCCATCAAAGCAGTCGATGACGGCGAGTTGAAGATTGTTCCAGACGAATTCGTTGTTGACTGGAAGAAGTGGCACGAAAACATCCGTCCATGGTGCATTTCCAGACAGTTGATGTGGGGACACAGAATTCCAGCCTACAGAGTCCAAATCGACGGAAAGTGGGCAGAAGGAAATGGAGAGTGGGTTGCTGCAGCATCACAAGAAGAAGCAATCGCTAAAGGTGCAAAGGCAAACAACGTAGTACCATCAAGAGTCACTGTTGAACAAGATCCAGATGTTCTTGATACATGGTTCTCATCTGCTTTACTTCCATTCTCCGGTGTCGGCTGGCCAAGCAACGAAGAACGCCTCAACAGATACTTCCCGAACTCAATTCTCGAAACAGGCTGGGATATCTTAACATTCTGGGTATCAAGAATGGTCATGATGTCATTGACATTGACAAACAAAGTTCCGTTCCACACAATTCTTCTTCACCCACTCGTTAGAGATGCACAGGGCAGAAAGATGTCAAAGTCTCTCGGAAACGTCATTGATCCACGCCACGTCATCAACGGTATCGAATTGGAAGATTTAGTTGCTGAAATCGAGAATTCCACATTCGATGACAAAGAAAAGAAGATCGCAATCGACGGCAGAAAGGCTGACTTCCCTAACGGTATCCCACAGTGCGGCACTGATGCCATGCGTCTCGCTCTCTGCTCATTTGCAGGCGCAAACAGAACAGCCAACCTCAATGTCTCTGTCATTGTTTCATACAGAAACTTCTGCAACAAGATGTGGAACGCTGTTCGTTTCGCATTGCCAAACTTCGACAAGTTCAACCCAGAAGATTCCCACAAGGACCTCGATGCATCAAAGACAACACCATTGGACAAGTGGGCACTCAAGAAGTTGTCTCTTGCAATCAAGGCAGCAACAGCTGGTCTCCAGGACTTCAAGATGGCTGACGCTGTTAATGGAATGACACACTTCTTCCACGACGAGTTCTGCTCTGTCTACTTGGAAGGCATCAAGCCAATCGTTAACGGCGATGATGCAGCAGCCAAGGAAGTTGTCGCAGCTGTATTGTACGAGTGCATTGAGTCAACAATGAGAATGCTCCATCCATTCATGCCATACGTCACAGAAGAGTTGTGGCAGCACTTACCAAGAAGATTCAACGTCGAATCAATCATGTTGGCTCCTTATCCATTAGTTAACGAGGAGTGGCTCAACTACGATGTCTCCATTGTTGACACTGCTTTTGCTACAGCTTCTGCTGCTAGATCTATCAAGAAGCAGTACAACATCAACAACAATAACTTGGAGGCAATCATCGTTACTTCTCAGGATGAAATCAAGCCAACAATTCCATTCATCTCAGCTATTGGCGGACTTGGAAAGGTCGACGTTGTTGCTCCAGGAACACAGATCGCTGCTGGTTACGCTTCCTCTGTTGTTACAGAGACAGTTGAGCTGAGAATCAACTTGAAGGGCGTCGTAGATTTCGAGAAGGAACTCGAGAGATTGGAGAAGAAGTTAGGCCCATTACAACAACAGTTCCAGAAATACGAAGAAAAGATTTCTAATCCTAACTACGCTACAAAGGTTAAACCAGAAGTCCAGGAACTCGAGAGATCTAAGATGGAAGCACTCAAGGTTCAAATCGAAGCTATCAACAAGAACATCCAGGAAGTTAAGCAGTTAATCGCTTAAAATTAATCATTTTTTTGTATAGATCTATAACACATTTAAAATAAAAACATTTCTTTTTACTTAATTATTACTTATTCATCTTTTAATTGTACAATTATACATTTTTTATGAAATTGTTTTTATATTCAAATAATGAAACTGATAATTACAATTATTTCTAATGTTTATTGGCATTCTTTTCATTATTGAAATATGTTATTGTGTAATTGGGTTCGAAAACAAGTTGTAATACAAATTTTATAATCATTGTATAGAATTATTCTGAAAAAATCAAGAAAAAATCAAATCTACTGTTTTCGAAAAGAATTTAGTGGTAAAGGCTAATAAAATTTTTACGATATTGAATCCGAATAAAGGTGACCAAACTATTTTTTGAAAGTCCGCCATAACTTTAATGGTACTATTTCAGCGTGTACAATGAATACAAAAATTCTAAGAGTGCCACATAAAATAGTACTTTAGACTTGAGTTAATGCTACCAAGCAAATGTTAAAAAGATGACTTTAGTGTTTTGATAATCAAAGATTAAAATCATTATTGTCTAAATCAATAATCATAACGACAGAAGTTAATGTTTTTTCATCAGTGCTTTAAATCCACTTTTAAAAGTATACCTCAAAATCAAAATATCAAAAAAAAAATTGGCCGATAGGTTTGGCTTTAATTTTTGTCTGCTTTTATGATTTGATATGGATGTTATAATTTAAAAATTGAGCCAAATTCACCAATAGATTTTTAGATTTGCAAATACTCAATAATTTTCAGCGTGTTATCTTTTATTAAAAGAACTATTTGGTTTCAGTATCATATAAATTGATATTTACTTTCTATTTGAACCTTCATTTAGCTAATGATTTAATAATACAGATCATCTAGTCCTTATAAGAGAATTTTGAATTTGTTATAATAAAAAAACAAACAGATATAGCTTACACTTCTATAATAAAGATACCTTTTATAGAAATCAGTATGAAATGTGTTTTTTGACACGTAAAGCTCTCAATTCATTATAACATGTTTGTCGATTTTTATATATTTTTCGCTTTCATTATCTATGATATTAAAAATTATGTCATCAGAATGTGAAATAATTAAACAAATGCCCTGCGGGAAGTATTTTATACTAGAATTTATAAAAAAAATCACTGTACGTTTAGCCTACTGGTTATGTCGTGGGGTTCAAAGGCAATATGTTCAAATCAGTAAGCACCCGGTTTTTTTATATTTTTTTTAACAAGGTGAATATAACTTTTGATCGAAATCAATGAGTTACATGAATTATCATTTATCTAACTACAATTAAATTGTGAAAATATACTATCCAATATTAGCGTTTAATAAAATCAAAGATTATTGACTTATATTTTGAAAGTAATCTAAGCAGAATTTAGATATCCAAATTCTAAATATCTTCATGCTTAGATGCTAGATAATATATTCTTATTTGAAAAATTTATAATGTTATTATTTTCTTATTTGATATTTACTACAAGCAGAAAAGCATTTATATTGTAAATTAACAGATTATGATAATTATACTCGTTTTTATATGTTCTTAATGAAGAATATCAAACGTATTTCTATGAGTTTTAAAAAATGAAAAGTTTTAATATGGCTAATATATTTATTATCATTAATAGAATAAAAAAGTTTTTTTCGCATATCACTCGATGATTTACCTTCGAGTTTTGATAAATTTCGAAAAAATTTAAGGAATGCTCTTTGAATTTCTTTACCTATAAGCATATTATCTGCCGTATTATTTTTCGCTAATTGTAGAATTTTATTTAATTTTAATAATTAACCTTCTAAGCTTATTGAGAGATCACATTGTATATTTGATACGTAGTACATATGCTAAATCTGTGAATTAGATTGTAAGATATTGAACAAACGTTCTTAAACATTTTAGATTTTAGGGAATTACTGAATTAAACTATATTTCTTATATGATATCTTCATGTTTGGATGCTTTGGGTATAATTTATTGGGCTTTTTCTATCCAAATGTTTGGCAATGGTAACCCAATTTCTAACAAATTTATGATGGAAAAATTTATGACTTTTATGGAGCCGAAAAAAAAGCATAGAATGAATAAGACTATTAAAGATAAGCTGTAATTTGATTGTGAATTTTAAGAAAAGAATTTGGATTAAAATTTGAAATTCTTTTTTTTTGAAAATTAGCCGATGATATGCTTAAGCTAAAAATTACTAGAAGCGGTGTGATATAATTTATATAAAAAAACTCATAATTGCCATTATTATTGGTACATATAAAGTCAAATTATAATTTGCAGTTATGCTTTAATCAAAATCTATATTGAAACGCTTTGTCACATCCATTAAAAAGGCTGTCGCATATAAATCCAAACATTTGCTTGGTATGTACTTTTCCATTTTAACGTCCTGATTGATATAAGCATGTTTTACACTTTAAAATAGTAATTATGACAACCTGTACACCATAGAAGTAGGCTATAACAAGAAAAATTAGATTGACATCGAATAATTTCAAGATTTAGAAACAATTTGTAGCTTTCTCAATTATCTAGAGTTAAAATTCATTTATAATGAGGTCATATATTTTAATTATCTTGTAATAAGGGTTTCGTTTTGCGAAAAAAACGTACAATACGCAATTTCGCTAAAAAACATTTAGCTAGCAATTTCGACCTTTGACTCCACTCAAGACGTCACTTTTTTAATTTTGCGGTATCATATTTTTGGAAAATCTTTATGAATATTATATAAAAAGTCTCTTTAATATCTATATTTCATATTTTTATCGATTTTTAAAGTTTTTGCGAAAAGTATTCAATTATTTTTGCTATTTGGTCGGGTAAATGTCAGATTTGCGACATTTTCTGATATGATATTCAGATTCTACGTTTATATAGTAATTTATGCTTTACATGTATTTTATATAAATTTTTATTGAATTCAAATATTCAATAGTTTTTTTATGCTAGATTAGTTGTATTTATTTAAATATATTATATTGGCAACCTTTCTTTACCCTGTCCTAATAAACGCATTTTGTAAAAAAAATATAGTGCATCAGTTTCGAACTAGCGTCCCGGGTACCCAATAGTAAGGGGTAATAACCATTCGACCATTTGCCACGTAAAGCATCGCCAGATTTTTTTGTATTTAATCACTCCCAAAACACTGTTTTGGCTTATTGGAAGCATATCAGACATAATCGCCATAATCAAAAAATCTATATACCCAATAAGTAATAAATTTGTCGATATAGATCTTCCATAAAATTAGTTTTTAGTCTGATCTTAAAATAAATTTAATTTTTTATAAAAAAAATCACATTTAAAAGTACCTTTTTAGTAGCTCGAAATCCTGTTGGTGGATTTCGGGCGTACTTCAAAATTAGCTTTTGTTCTACATATGCAAGCTATATTTTAAATATGGGGCAAATCGGATCGGCGAAAGGAGTTTAGTTACCTTTATCCGAATTCAATATTATAAATTCAAAGGAGATTTAATTGGAATTATGATTTTTGAGTATAAGCAAAACTAATTTCAGTATAGATGTCTCAATATGAAAGAAAATTAATAATTTTGGAAAAAATATCCACCATGAAAAGAAAGTTGTATGGATCATTTATTTTTCATTTTGGGAGTATGTCTTAATTCTTTTTGTTTGAAGGAAAATTATTCAAGGTGAAATTATGACAGAAAAAATATGCCAGAAAAAAAAACTTGACATTCACATTCAATGTCTGTCGAAAATTTGGTCGAAGATGCGATTAATGCTCAAAACACACCAGAAGAATTCTCCAAAATTGTGTTAAACTACATCAAGGCGAACGATTCTGTTAATTATTACAACGCATTCAAGCATTTCAAGAAAAACTCAAAGAGATTCTCAGATGCTATCAAAGCAATTCGAGATTCCGCAAACGTATTAAAAGACATGAAGGATATTGCTAATGCCCTTAAATTCTTTGAAGCAATTGATGAATTTTTGGCTGATTATCCAAGCTTTTTCGAAGAATTAAAGGAAGTTATCGAAATTTACGAAAAGATATGCAGAGCAGGTAACAAACTCTCTCAATTTGCCAAACTTTTGGAGAAAAAACCAGTTGATGAAACAAAGATGAAGCCTTCTGAGATTTTAGACCTATATCTCACTATTGCAAACCTCCATCTCCAATCCAAAGGCATTTCAAAGGCCCAGCAATACTTTGCTAAAGCGAAACCATATTATTTCCCGAATTCTACACCTCTTGAGAACCAAAAGGTCTACAATAATACACATACTAACCTTATGATTGAAACGAAGAACTTCCTTGCCGCTTCCCAGCAACTTTTGAGTACATATCTCGATAAAAAACTTTCTCAAGGCCAGGACAAGCAAAAACTACTCTTAAGAGCCATTATTTTTGCAGGTGTATGCCCACCAGGCCCATCCCGTGACGAACAGTTCCAACAGATCATGAAAATCGAAGAAGCTCAAAAGATTCCAGAATACAAGCTCATTCTCCGCTTAAACAACCGCCAAATCATTTCGGATACAGAGATTGAAGAGTTCTGGAACATTATCAAGGAAGAAGAATCAGTTTCGAAACAATATTTCCAAGCAAACATCAAAAAGCATAACATGACCCAGATTTCTTACATCTACAAGTCTGTGTCCATCGAGAGAATCGCTAAGATGATTGGTTCTACACAGGCTGAAGTTTTGAACAATTTGAACTCAATGATTTCATCTCACGAGATCAAAGCGAAGATCGACCAGCCAAACAACAAAGTCGTGTACCACAATGACGACGTCTACAACATTGACGACCAGATTCTTGAGTTTTGCGATAAGGTTCTGCGTCTTGCAGATTCAATCCAAGAAGCAAAATGAAGTAATGTTATAAACAATTAATAAAAAAAGATATTTGACTTTTATCCTAAATTTTTTTTTTTGAAATTTCAATATTTATGAGAATTTTTGTCGCTGTTTTGACTCTTATGTGCTTTATTAAGCAGATTTTGAGAGCAGGTCAATATGACTTATAATCCAGCTACGTCATTCCTCTAAATTCTAACTTTAAAGTTAATTTTAGCTATTTTAATATAATAGCATAAGGTTCACAATGATAAATCGCCTAGTTTTTTCTTACAAGATCTTTCCCCCATTCAACCCCTGCTTGACGTTTAAAACGTGTAAACTCATGGTTATCAGAGCTCTAATATTCAAGCATTTCACACATGTCAAAAACTTTATATTTTTCGAAACGTAATAAACAGATTTTGATTGTTTAAATCTCCAAAATCTATTCTCCTCAGGAATTTGAGAAAAATTTTCTGAAAAAAATCAGTTGGCGACGATGTTTGAGAATGATATATCTTGCCCAAAATCTCGGGTCCATAATTGATTACTTTGCTAGCCGAAATTCAGAGAACCGGACCCTGGATTTTGAAATTATTATAGTTTATACCTTTCAATTGATAAAATATATTCATTGCATAATTAAATGAGTTATAAACTAGAAATAAATAATGAATAATTAGAAATTATCTGTTCTGATGAATTTTCTTTGGAAAAATTAAGATATTTATCAATAAAAAAAGAACAAATTTTTATTATATAAAGAAATAAATTTCATTTGTTTTGTTTGAGTGCATTTTCGAGATTCTTAACCTTCTCTTCAATTACATCTAACTCTTCAGAAGGATTCCTAGGAATTTCTTCGTCTTCTTCGACATCTGAGTATTGGTCTTCTTCTATGAAATCTGCGATGACATCTTCTTCAGATGGGATGTTAGAACCATCAGAATAACTCGTAAGAATTTTGTACATTTGGGCTAATTCTCTATGAATTGCAATATTTGATGGTGTTCTACCACTATTATCTTTAATATGTAAATCTGCGTGGAAAGCAACAAGTGCTTTGAATATCTTTTGTTCTGTTGATACAATTGATAAATGAAGAGGGGATTGACCGAGATTGTTAACCAAATTTGGATTAGCTTTGTTCATTAGCAAGCATAAAACCATTTGGTAGTCGTTTGCTGATACAGCAAAGTGTAATGGTGTAGATTTATTATTTGAAAGAGAATTTACAGAATCTGGAAACATTTTGAGAAGAACTTTCATAACATGTATGCTATGTGAAATTGCTGCATAGTGAATTGGTAACCAATTTTGGACTTTTATGTTGATATCTGCTCCATTATCGAGTAAATACTGAACAGATTTTGGTTGTTTGCAACATATTGCGTAAACCAGTGGAGTTGGATATGAGACACTTGATACTTGCTGTTCTCCACGCCCCTCTGGAATCTGAGTAACTTTTGCAATTATTTCATTAGCAATTGTTTGATCGACACCTAATTTCTTAAGTTTTTCAATATTTCCTGTGCTTAAAGCTGTTAGAAGTGAACTTTCGAAATCCATATTTTTTTTGACAAAATAGGTTTACATGTCAAAATAAAAAAGAATTTGTTTTTGACACTTTTAAAAAAAATGAGTTTTTACGATTACAATAAATCAATTAATGCCCCTCCCCCACAGCCACAGCAATTTGTTATCTCCTCACAATCCACACCTATTCAGCCATCATATATGCCTCTTCAACCTTATCAAATGAATCATGATCAGGCAATATTACAACGCATTCAAGAATTAGAAGCCGAAAACAAAGATTTAGCAGAAAAGTGTGCAGCACAGAAACTTAGAATACAAATTTTGGAACAGAAAATGTTTGATTTTTATACGAAGTATCAACAACTTCCAAATGTTCAAAATACCATGAATTAATTCATCCTATCAATAGATGATATACATCACAGTACGAATTTAGATTTTGTTTATTTTATTTTGAACATATATTTACAGATTGTTCATATCCTTTTATTTTTGTTGATATATAAACATAGATTGTTTTTAATTGGTATCTGATGCTTATATAATTAAGTTTTTTTGCATATTTTTTTGGCCATAATTTTCCATAAGTAATACCTGCTATCAATCTTTATATATATATGAAAGAATAAGATCGATTCCTTTCTATTCTTTAGGGAAGTCCATTTTGATTATTTGAATTTGAACCAATACAATATTTTGTATCGAGTCTCAATGAGTAACAACCTTTAAATTTGATAAAAACTTAGAAATCTAACTATTTAATTCAAGTTGAAGATTTTTCAAATTTCAAATTCTGTTAAATAAGGATGAAAAGTAAATTTAAATAGAAATTTTTAATTCCGCTTTAAAAATAGATGTATTTTATATTCACGAAAAAAATTAAATTTAAAAAAATAATGATAAAATTATAATTTTTTGAAAATATTTTTATTTTTTTGATTTTTTTTTGGAATTTAAGGATGTTAAACTTAAAAAAATTTTAGCCCTGGGATCCCAAAATTGACAGTTTTTAGCCCAAGCATTTTTTTTGAGCTATTTCTATGAGTTATATGATATAATACACTTAACATAAATAATTCTTACTTTTAGTCACGAAAAAGCATTTTGCGATTTTTGCAGACGATTATTTGGGATTATCCCATCCCAGGTCCAATTCAAAATTTGAAAGGAATTGAGAATGGGATTGGGATTAATCCCAATCCCAATCCCTAATAATCGTCGGATTAGATATTGATAATTATTTTAAATATATTTCAATAGTAGTGAATTTTCACTACTACAAATGACTATTTCAAAGCAATTTTTGAAAAAATTAAAATAAATAAAAATAACATTTTTGAGATCTGAGATATGAATAATAGTTCCTATGTCTTGTAAAATATATCTGTGGATTTGTTTGATCAGAAAACATATTCAAGCAGATTGAATTGAATAACATTTGATAATAGAACAGCGTCAATGAAGCAATTAATATAGAAATGCTTTTTGTTATGTGTGATGAAGATATTAGTTAATGAATTATGAATATCAAAATAAATAAAATCAATTTCTAAGAAATTTTTATTAAATCTATCAAAATTTATATCCATAGTATGAGTTGGTATCAATGGTGGTAAGAATAGGCTCTGTTAATGAAAGCATCTAAACTTTCCATCCAAAGACCAAAAAGTGTCATTGTTGCATGGGATAGGACTTCCAGCAGGAGTCGCATCAGGCTATACACTTGCTGGAATGGTAAGCAGCCTTTGATCTAATCAATCATAATGCTGCTTCGTCCATGCCAGCAAGTGTTTTCAAAATATATGGTGCATCATATGTCTTTTCAGTCTTTTGCGAGAACTCTGCAAACAAAAAGTGCAATGTTCACATAGTCTAGCTGTCAGGATATAGTAGCTAAGCTGTGTGGACATTGCGCTTCTAGAGATATACCAGTATTCCGATGTTGGCCACACGCACTACATTACTTTCCACAGGTTCCCAAAGAGCCCGGTACTTCGTGATTACATGAATAGGGCCAAGTTCTTCCGAGGCCTCTCATCGAATGAGAGACTTCGGAAGAACTTGGTCCTAAAGTATTCCTACTACTGCTCTCTGGTCTGTAAAGGACTAAATAAGCTACAATTTGTCGATAAGAATAGAATTCCTCCGAAGTCTCCCATTCAATGAGAGGCCTCGGAGGAATTCTACTCCAAGGTAATGCGCTTGTAGTTTCTTACTTTCTATTGAACGGAAAATGTAAATTTACTCGAAAAGAGCAAAAGTTCTTCCGAGGCCTCTCATTGAATGAGAGACTTCGGAAGAACTTTTGCTCTAGTGTAATGCGCGTATATTCTTGGGTTCATGGAGAGCGAGAGAATTTGTTTGTAATTCGTTTTTGCTGAAGTTCTCCGAATTTCTCTCAATTGAGGAAGGAAATCCGGAAAACTTCAGCATGAGTTAATTGTGGTGTAACTCTCTGGGTATTTACCGGCCAGAGAGCGAGTAAAATATTAGAGAGCGCATAGTCTCAGTATAGGTATGCGTACTGTAAATATACGTTATTTTTTACTTTCGTATGAAAAAATAGCTTCTCATTTTTATGCTTCTATATACTTTGTTACTAAGTAAATCACCTATTTTCTTATTAAAACCTAATTTTTCCACGTGATTCAGAATCTCTGCATCCCAAAAATTCGTTTTCTGCTTTCAAAACGCGAAAATATGCAGTATATCTCAAGATAAAGAGGATATCTTGCCCTTATATTTTCCAAAAATTTTTGGGATGCAGAGATTCTGAATCACGTGGAAAAATTAGGTTTTAATAAGAAAATAGGTGATTTACTTAGTAACAAAGTATATAGAAGCATAAAAATGAGAAGCTATTTTTTCATACGAAAGTAAAAAATAACGTATATTTACAGTACGCATACCTATACTGAGACTATGCGCTCTCTAATATTTTACTCGCTCTCTGGCCGGTAAATACCCAGAGAGTTACACCACAATTAACTCATGCTGAAGTTTTCCGGATTTCCTTCCTCAATTGAGAGAAATTCGGAGAACTTCAGCAAAAACGAATTACAAACAAATTCTCTCGCTCTCCATGAACCCAAGAATATACGCGCATTACACTAGAGCAAAAGTTCTTCCGAAGTCTCTCATTCAATGAGAGGCCTCGGAAGAACTTTTGCTCTTTTCGAGTAAATTTACATTTTCCGTTCAATAGAAAGTAAGAAACTACAAGCGCATTACCTTGGAGTAGAATTCCTCCGAGGCCTCTCATTGAATGGGAGACTTCGGAGGAATTCTATTCTTATCGACAAATTGTAGCTTATTTAGTCCTTTACAGACCAGAGAGCAGTAGTAGGAATACTTTAGGACCAAGTTCTTCCGAAGTCTCTCATTCGATGAGAGGCCTCGGAAGAACTTGGCCCTATTCATGTAATTACGAAGTATCTGACATTTTAGGAGCGAGAGAGCGGTAGTATAAGTGCTTGTGTGCAATAACGTATAACTAATATCGCTAGAAGCACAATAATTTTGCGGCCTAACTACTATATCCTAGTAACTAGGCTGCACAATTATTATGCTTCTGGTTTGCAGAGCTCTTATGGGAGACCAAGCTGAGGTCTGATGCCGGAACCACTTGCTGGTATGAATGAAGCAGCACTATGATTGGTCAGAACAAAGGCTGCACATCATCCCAGTAAGGGGATGGATGAGCGTGACTCCAGCTATGATCTTCCATATAGGAATGACACTTTTGCGCTTTTTTTTAGGGAAAGTTTTGAGTGGATGCTTTGCGCTAGCCCATTCTTAATACCATCACAACCCATTCATACTGTAGTTATAGGATTTAACTTTTTTTTGGAATAATTTCAAATTTCTAATTTATTAAAATTTACAATTTATGAATATAAGCGATAATATATCTAAAATTACACAATTTGCTTATAATATTATACTTTTATAGATAAATATTTTTAATCTCTTTTTGCCTTCGCCCATTTTTTTATTTTTTTCTTGAAACTCATTGAAAAATTTCAATATGGGATGGATGGTATCCCAAACTTCAAGTAGCCCAAGTGGATTGGTGATTTCCTTACATCCTTATTGGAATTCTAAATGTTCAAAGATAGGCATGCCATAGGCAAAAACAAAACAAACGCACACAGTAGAGCTGAATTATTAACAAATACATTTTAAAAAGTTTGCAATCAGATCTTCGTGGCGTGATTTTCTCCAAAATAATTATTACCTGTAAAATTATAAATGCTTGTGCCTGATATATTATAATAAAGGCTGAATAGTAGATGTTTGTCTTATATTCAAGCCAATATGAATTCAATTTTGCTTAAACTATTCATCTAATGAGTTTACACAGATGTGATAAAGCGTTATATCCTCAAATTAAGATATGTATGTTATCAAAATGAAGTAATATTGTTCAAAAGGATAAGGATTATTTACTCATAATTTTGACCTTAATTGGTTTGGAAACATTCATTGCCACTGCATAGATAAATCATTTCCTTGATTTATATTACGACTTATACAATAATTATTCTGCATAGTTTTAAAAGTGACAATTTCATCATGAAAACAAATTCGAAACTTGATGAAGATTTTCCAGCACTTTCTTCATTACCAAAATCAACACCACCACAGTCACCTCAAAATCCTCCTCAATCACCTCCACAGCAAAAAAATCCACCAGAAGTTAAACAATATACTTTAGACGAGCAACTATTTCATGATGTTTCTCCAGAACAAATCGCTCTTACAGACATGACAACTCAAGACTTTGGCTTTGCATTGTCTTCGTCTTTAGATTTTATTCCAGATACACCTTACGAAAAAGATCCTTCGAATGACGACGGTAACTCAGACACATCATATCCAAAGACACCAAACATGAAATTACTTCAACCAGAGTTTTTCAAGAAGTACGACGTTGATACACTTTTCTTCATCTTCTTTTACTTCCCTGGAACATCGCAACAATACTTTGCAGGAAAAGAATTGCATCGCCGTGGTTGGGTCTTCCATAAGAACTATGGATCATGGTTTTTGATGGTTGGCGAACCAACCGAGAGCAATGCCGAATATACAGTTGGCAAATTTGATTACCTCGACCATACGTCAGAAAGTTGGAATATTCGATCGAAATCTAACTTTAAGATTGATAATTCTATTATCGAACAAGACTACTGAAAAACTGTATGAATTCAACGGACTAGTCCATATATATCTATGATTTATAAATATTTTTTACTGTTTAATCGCGATATTTTTTTTTATAACTTTATTTTATACTGTACCTAACATATTCATTGCATCCATGACGAAAAAAAACTGTTTAACTAAATTTACAGGATTAGTAATTTTTTTAATAGCTTCAAGTATCAAATGAAGTTAATTAATTAACTAAAGTTATAATTTGACTGTTCTTATTTGAAATGTAACTGATAATACTAACATTATCAGCGTCATCATGATATGAAACAATATCTTATTGAAGTCGGATCAAACATCTTTTAGAATTTCGCGAAATATTTCTATTTTGACAAGACTTATGCATAGATCCACAGGATATGGCCAGTATGAAATCAAGGGAACATATTTAACAGAATTCATATCGAAACGAAAAATAATTATATTTGATAAATAATTATATTTTAATAATTTATACTTGGGAGAAAAGAATTACAAGGTGAATAATCTATTACGAGCTCTGTAAACAAACATTTCGAAGTTGCTCCCATGTAGTATAATTTCTCATATCATTATTGTTTGTGTTAATTTCAGTGGTGCCATTGATTAATAAATCTTTTATTTCACTCAATTGGGTGGAAATATCTGTCAACATCTTTGTTATATTGTCATAGTAATTATTCATGACATTTTTGAGAGATTGTATTTCATTTTTCACGGTTTTTGTTTCGTTTATGAGATCTTGAAATAGATTTAGTGTAATGCGTAAATTAGTAATCATACCAAGTGAAACAAATATAGCATTTTTGTCCGAACTGCGCTGAAAGACATCACATAGAATAGCTCTGCATGGTTTAATTGCTTCATCAATGTCAGATTCTGTGAGATCTTTTTTAGTGAAAGTAACAATCCCGGTTTGGAGGTATAGGAGCTGGTCATCATCGTCAGATGGGATTTCAAAAGAAAATTGCTTTGATTTACAATCATCATTAATTGCATTGATGAAACTTACAAAAGTCTGTGATTGTTTTGAAAGATTCTGGTATCTTTTAGGAAATTGATGATTGATTCCAATAATACTAGAATATCGTGAAAGGATCTCCGGAATTGTATATCCATTGGATAGCTCATTGGATTCTGCGTGTTGAGACAATTCTGCTTCCACATTAAGTTCTCTTTGGTTATTAGCTTCAGTCTGATTAGTTATTTTTGAACTTGATTGTTTTTCCATCATCAAAAATAATAAATAAATGATTTGAAAGAAGATTGATATCATTCAAATATCTTTCCAAAAATTTTAAACGTATCTCATACCGAAATGGCTCACAAAAAAAGTGACATTTTTGGCGCCAATAATTTGATTTTTCTGATTCTTTCTATTTAGATATATTTATTTAATATTCATATTCCTTTATATTGCCTCATATTATTTCCCATTTTTAATCATATTATACAAATCTTTAATAATTTTTAATGTTTTGAGCTTCAAAATCTTGTTCTAACTATTTTCATTCATATATCCTAGAAAAAATTAAAAAGTTTTTTAGAAATAAAAATGTTTGTATGTAAAGTATTGAAAATATTCTAGATGAGAAGACATTCTCCAGAAGAGATTGATATTGATTGGCTTTGTGAAGCCATCACAAAATCAAAAAATGGAGTTAAGTTAACTGATATTTGCGCGAAAGCTAAAATAAATCATGAAGGCAGAGTTATATATAATCATACTATCTTAAAGTATTCCTAGAAATTTCCAAAATTAACCGAAATATAACTGGACAGAATTACTATTTTCGAGATAAAATTCATATGGAAATACTAATTCATAACGCTTTATGTTATATAAAATTTAATTTATAAAAATTTCAAAATAAATCAAATTTAACACAATGAATATAACTGCAATCGAGGTTTTTGACGATTGATTCTTACGAGAAGTTTTCCAAACTTTGAGTTAATGTCAAGACATTAACTCAAAGTTTGGAAGTCTAATAAGGGGAATTGTAGGCTATGAGGTACTGATTATATATCAGTGCCTCATAGCCTGCAATTCCCATTAGAAATCGGAGAAACTTTGTCCGCATAACTGATGATGCGGACAAAGTTTCTCCCATTTCTACTTAGAATGAAAGGGCAAGAGGTATATAGGTACACTATATATCTCTTGCCCTTTCCTTCTTACCTAAAGACTTCCAATCTTATTTTTTTCCCCAATTTTTCCCCTAAATTTAAATCTTATATAATATAAATAAAATGCATAATATCAATCACAAAAATTAATGTTTATTTTTTTAATTAAAATTGCTGCGCAATTTAAGGTTTTCTGTCACTTTTTTATGAGCCATTTCGGTACGAAACACCAAAAATTTTAAACGTATTGATTTTAGTAACATATTGTTATGTTTTCATTATACATCAAAAGTGTGAAGAATATATAAAAACGATATAAAATTGAGAACTCATCTATGTTCTATGAATTCATATACTTCAGAATTTTACATTTAAGATCTAGAACGAAATTGTTGCTATGCTTTTCCGAAATAGATGCATTAGAAATCGTAAATTTCGTTTTTAAAATATTCATCGTAATTTTATTCTTTCTTTGTTGTTTGTTCATAACTATTCATAAATATCATTTTAGAAATAAAAACAATGATTTTTGTGACTCGGATGTTTTTTCAAACAGAAATGTATAATGATTAGGTACTTATTGGAATGCTCGTTTAAACAACATTCATATTTTTCATGTTTAAACTCGTTATTTTAGAATTCGACGATCAATTCTAATCTTTCTAATATTTTTAACTCACTTTGATATCAATAACACATCCAATGCATCTACATCGACCATGCTTATTACCACAACATAAAATTTTCTAAACGATTAAAATATTTTTTCACTAGTTTACTTATCGATTTTAATTGAAAACAATTTTTTTCACCACTCACATATTAATTTTTTTACAATATTCACTCGCATAGGAGAGAAATCATTTGTAACTCTTCTTGAGCTATTCTATAAACACTATCTTCGTCATCATGATGTGAAACAACACTCTTTATGATTTGTTCCCATAAACATAAAGCTTTTCAGATCTTGAAATGTGAGATATTATATACTCAATCATATATTATATTATTATACTTATTATTTTATATACCATTCATAATTTACAAAAAAATTTTATTTACACTTTTTTGAAAGAATTGCTTCACCTTGTTCTGACCATTCTTGTTTTGAGATGCAGAACTCTGGGAAGTTATCAAGAGAGCCCATAATTGAACCGCCAACCCAAACAGAGAAAGAACCGTTGCACATAGGGTGCATTGGAGGGATAATGTCGACCATATAGTTTCTAGGGACAAGCCTTCCAAGTAGTTCTCTCAATTTGTCGTACATTCCTGGAACATTTGAGAGACCGCCAACAGGAATGATATTCTTCCACATTAAACGCTGAACATCACCTGGACATTTGCCAATTACATCGGCAATAGTATCGGGAAGTAGTGGAATTGGTGAGTTTCCGATTCTTTGCCAGAAAATTGATTTAAGAGGGGCAAGAACGGATGTTTTGAGGGGTTCATGCCCAGGAACGTAGTAAAGAAGAGCCATAGGATCTTGTTGTTTCGTACTAATATATGTAAGCTGTGTTTTGAGGATATCAATAATTATATTTCGTTTCGCGTATTTCTGTTGTGATTCTGTGGGTGTATATAGTGGAAAACGAGCTACAAGGGGCTTAAAATTGACGTTGAATTGTTGATTCTGCTCAGGTGGATCGAATAAAGTGTAAATTTTTCCGCCAGACTGATTAGTAAGAGTCTCGACATAATCAACAAATGTATATGTTCCAATTTGGTAATTTCGTGCGACATTTAATAATGGCTTTCCTTCAAAGATAGGAACAATTCTTGTATATAACCAACCAAAATCAAGGACAATTCCTGTTTGAAGACCACGTGAGAGTGCAGCAAGTGATGAATCAAACTCCAAACATAAGTATGGATGGTTTGCAAACTCAAAAAGATGTTCACACCACGATTTTCTCCAATTTTCAAATTGTCCTTTATTTATAGTAATCTGAGTTGGTTGTGTGAGGAGTACTGGATGATCTGATGGATCTATTTGTAAGCATTTCGAGTATGTCCAATCAAGATAAGTTGGAATAATCTGAGAATGATCAGGAACAAGATTTCCACTACCATCAATCATACTCACAACTTCCAAATCAGGCATATTTTTCGAAAGCCATGAATCTCCGAACTCATATGTTTTTTCACCATCTCTAACTCTCTGAATAATTGAAGATGGAACGCTAAAAGATGGCTGAACATCACCTGCATATCCAAACCTCGTGTAACAGCTTCCAATATCAAATACAAGTGTCTTGTGCGGGTTTGAAATGATGTTCATTTATATGACACAAATTTTAAAATTTTCTATCGTCCTCCTTAGTCAATTGGAATGCAATCCGTCCCCACTGACCCACACGAGTTTGATGAGCTTCCTATAAGCAATGTTCTTAAGAAGGCACTTAAAGACAACAAGTTTACCAAAATGAAGCAAATTCAATCAATGGCTATACCACATTTGCTTGCTGGCAGGAATGTGCTTGGCGCATCCCCAACAGGTTCAGGTAAGACACTTGCTTTTCTCATTCCAGCAATCGAATTACTTACATATGCTCGCGCGCGCCCAGCCAACGGCACATTAGTTGTTATTCTCTCTCCATCACGCGAACTCGCCCTTCAAACATTCAGCATTGCAAACACACTCATGAAACAGCTCTCACCAACCGTTGGTTGCGTTGTTGGTGGCAGCACATCTTACAAGAATGAAGCATATCAACTTACAAAGAAAGGATACAACATGCTTATCGCTACACCAGGTCGTCTAAGACAGCACCTCGAAGCAGGCAACGTTAAATTAGACAATTTCCAAATGTTAATCATCGATGAAGCAGATCGTATGTTAGAAAACGGTTTTGCACAAGATCTCTTCCAGATCTTCAAGAGTATCAAGACACCAGCACAAACAGCCTTATTCTCCGCTACTCTTACAAAAGATGTCGAAGGATTAATGCGCGTCAACATTTCTTCGGCACCAGTCTTCTGTTGTCCCACGGAAGCCAATGTCGTCACAACTCTCGAACATTGCTACACGATTGTCCCTCTAAAAATGAGAATTGCGACATTAGTTACATTATTGATGAAATTGAAAGGAAAAAGAATCGTTGTTTTCGTAAACAGCCGAAAAGAAGCTGAATTCCTTGGCCGCATCTTCAACGCCATTGATATCGACAACGACTGCATACACGGCGATCTTCCACAAGAAGAAAGATCACTTGCTTTCGTCAGATTCAACAGAAACGAAAGAAGTGTCCTCATCGCAACAAACGTCGTCTCAAGAGGTATCGATTTTACGGGCGTTGATTGGTCTATTTCGTTAGGCCCGCCAGACAGAGTCAAGGACTACATCCATAGAGCAGGAAGAACAGCGAGAAATGAGAATTTCGGTCGTTCTTTGATATTACTCTGCGAAAACGAGAAACCATTCGTTGACAGTGTTCGCAGAGCAAAGATCACAATCAAGAGAATCAATCTCAAACTTGAAGGTGTCGAAGATGAGTTCGAACACATCAAACAGACAATCCCTGAATCAAGAGCATTCAAGGAACTCGCTGAAGACGCTGTCGACGCTTTCGAAAGCAGCTACAGCGCTAGACCTGCTGAAGAAGGAATCAGCGTTAAGGATATAGATATTAACGACCTTAGAGAGTCGTTTGGCCTCCAGCCACTTAAATAAAGTATTATTTATAAAGTTTATTTTATATAATTACTTATAAACTTATTTTTTACAAAGATAGATTTATCCTAATTATATACATGAGTCCATACTGTATATATAGAAATATGGCATTCCCTTTAAATCATTTTAGATGACAAGATATAAGTACTTCAATTATCCTATAATATGCATATGTAGAGTTAATATACACTTCAATTAAGTTTAATATCACCATTTCTACTATTGGCAAAATCATTTATTTCATCCTGTGCAATACATAATAGATTTTATTTATAATCTAACATCTCAATTTATTAAGCCTTTAATGGTGAAGTATTGACCTTTTCTTGAGAGTTTTGTTCGGTTTCTTTGAGGATTAAAACAGATAAATACCTATATATTGGAGAGGATTGAATTATTTGATTGAATTTTAATCATTTTCCAATTTTTGTATTTGTAAAATAATTGTTAAAGAAGAGAATGGTAAGGGCTGATTTAAAAATTAGGATAAAAAAGTGTACGTTTATTAATGTTTTCTTCTTGGAGTTGGTCTGGGTGGCATTATTTAATTTCATGCGTCTTTCCATTCTTAATATCTCTTCTAGAACTCATTTTTATATGCACACAGATTGATATAGATATTCTTCCTACAGAACCAATTAATAGTATCCCTGTTACAATGATTTTCTTTAAATTTTTAGAAGGAATGGCACATTTCACAGTATATTATCTCGGTGTAGAAGGTCCAGAACAACTATTTGGCGATAGAAATTGGTTGATCATAGTAATTTTAGTAATTTTTGCATATCCAATTTACTTTTTATTCAAACTTCCATTCGTAGTTATCAGAATCTTTCTCAGACTTGGTTCTCCTGGAGCAATTTGGGAAAGAATGTTTTCTAACACAGGATTTTCATTAGAAAAATTACGAATAGATGATTCAAATTGTCCATTATTTGTATTTAGATGCATTTATATCGGATTACCTTTTATAATTTTTGCGTTAATCTACGTTATATTAATTATTGCATTATCACCGCTCTGGTATTTCATATTTTCATGCTGGTCGATGGGATGCTTTGGAATTGCTGCAACAATGGCAATTTTATATACAGAAGAGGATCCTCTCACAGCTCAAGATAGATGTCTTCGAGTTCATTTCAACAATCAATGTATTCACTTATTTACAACAGCATCTGATATCATATTCACAGCTATTCATCTTGCATTAGCACATGTAAGCGTAATTGGTGTTTTTCTATGTGTTGTTGCTTCAATTTCATTTATTTTCCATGCAATATATTGTGTACATGAAATTTATGATAGATGTAATCAGCGTGGTACACATTGCTGCAGTTGCTGCTCCAAAGATGATTTATAATTTTAACCATGTTAAACTTGTCTGGATATGTATTAACAAAATACATTTCAGTACTGTTTGTATGATTTTTGTTCCTTAATATTCAACTATATTCTGTTTTTATTTATTCCCAATGTCATCATTGCTTGTGTTTCATTTTTTGGCATAAACCTTTTGTATTTTACTATTGTTAAATCCAATACTACCTTGTTTTCTTTTATTTTTCCAAAATTCCAAATTTGAAATTTGTGATTTATGAGTTTAAAAGTACTTTTGAGCAAAATCATGATATATATGGCACATACATGCGAAATCATTGCTATTACAATCAAAATCAAAAAATTGAAATTTTCGATATGAAATTTCGCTTTGAATTCAATCAACAACACATTAGCTCAGTTCAAAAATGATAAATTTAAATAATATAGCTTTATTCAAATATAATATAATTAAATTTTTTTTGGAACGCACTTTTTAAAATAAAATCTTAATTCCAAATCAAATTCGAAGTGACCACAGTCCATATACTTTTCTGAGAAAAAGTAGTGTATATTTTATATGAAAAAATGTTAAATTTGCTTTCCCGTATCAAGTTGAAGGCCAAGAGATATAGCATTAATTTGTTTGAGCATATTAGAAGTCAAGCCAACAGAAACTGTAAGTCCTTTTCCTGTATCTCTAACAAATTTTGCGCATGTTGATAATTCTGATGAAATTGAAGCACAAACAGAGTTATTTCCTATGACCATGTTGTAACCGAGTGTTCCAACCTTAATATTTGCATCATGATCAACCTGTATCTTACTTCCAATCGAAGCTCCGTTATTTATTGTGAAATTCCAACCAAATGTTGAAATAGAATTTGTATGATTGTAAGTATAACAGAATAAATTACGAAGTGTTTGGAATGATGCCATTAATTCGAATCCTTGTCTGAATTTTTCAAGATCGATGGTATATGCACCGCCAACTAAGAGAGAATTTGACAAAGCTACATTTGTTTCTGTACTTAGATACAAATTTTTGAAGTTATCGACTGTCTTCGCTTGTATTGATGCGTTAATCATGTTAGTTATGACTTTTGTGTTGAAAGAAATGTCATATGTTGGTAAGCATGATGCATTTAATGCAAATGTGATATCATCTGTGAAAGGAATGGTTGATGTAACGTCAATGCTTTCTGAATTTAGAACTGATTCGATTTCAATTCCTTCGATTTCTGTTTTCAAAATGGCTGAATAACTTCCTGGGAATATTTCTTCGTGTGATTGATCAATAAGGGCTAAAGGATAAATACGAGGTCCAATATTTAAAATTTGAGTAAAGTTTGTGGACATATCGACAGAATGCGTATGAAGAAAAGATAATCCTGGCTGCTCTCCTGTATAACAAACATTTTGAAGAGCAGATCCTATTGTTTGATAAGAAGGAACTGTTTGGTTTGCTCCCATGATTTTATTTTTTGAATTCATAGCATAATTTTTCAATTAATAATCATACAATACATAATAATATTTATTGCCTTATTTTGATTTTTTTCACAGTACAAAAAAATTGACAATTTTTTTTATAAATGAATACTCAAGATACAATTTTTCGTGTTGATGAGAAAGTTAAAATTGTATTCCTCGGAAGCCCTAGCGTCGGAAAAACATCAATCATGAATCGTTGGATATGTGGCGACTATAATGATCGAGTTTCTCCTACAATTGCAGCGGCAAACATTCAAAAAGATATCGTAATCAATAATAAAGAATATACAGTGGTTGTTTGTGACACAGCTGGCGAGGAAAGATATCATAGTTTATGCGGAAATTATGTTCGAGGTGCACACTCAGTTATAATCGTTGCATCTTACGATCTTCCGTCATCAATGGAAGCTATAAATTCATGGGTTAACTTAGTTTATGAAATTTGCCCTGAAACAACTCCAATAATTATTGCAAAAAATAAAAAAGACTTAGTTAATGAAGAACATTGTGACTCTGAATACAACGGATTCCCATTATTCCATGTTTCGGCAAAAACAGGAGAAGGAATCGAAATGGTTTTTACAGAAGCAATTTTTAGAGGAATCGAGAACATGGCAATGGAAACAACAGCTACTGTGAAACTCGAAAGAGCAAATACTTCAAATCGCAAAGAAAATACTTGTTGTTAACTTTTTTTTGTTTATATTACTTTATTATAATTTGTTTATATGATAAAACTTGTTTGTTATATGCATATTCACTATTCCACCATATTTAACTTTTAAAAACCCTAATCATATTGCCTTCAATAGAAGCTCAATGAGATATCTGAATCAATCATTACCCTGAATAAAACCAAGAAGAAAGGATTCTATTAGAGTGAAAAAGATAAAATAAGCTTAAAAATTTCAAAAATAATTTTATTAATCGAAATATTCAAATCCTATTCCCGATTTCAACATTCTATTTCATCTGGAATATATGAAACAATGATTAATATGAAATATTCTACTTCAATATCAGTAGTATATGTTGAAGGGTTGTGTGACTTTTTTTGTAAACGTAAGAATTCATACAATATTGAACGATTTTGTATCATTTTTTTTAACATATGAAGTAAAAAATGTATGATTCTTACGGTTTTTATTCTTACGTTTTTGAATAAATCAAGATTTAAAAAATTTTCAAAATTGTAAGACATTTACACTCAGCCCATACATAATGAAATAAAAAATAATTTTTTTAAAAAAAATAAACCATTAAAAAATTAACATTAATTTTAAAATAATTTATTTTTTTATCTTTTATAAAAGAAGCTATATATAGATGATGTCAGATATTCCGCGATTAATTAAACATTGTTTAAATCCTGAATGGGTTAAACTTCAATTTAAAAAGGAAGACTGTGAATTATTAAATGAATATGAAAGCCAAAATAAGCTAATGAGGTATAAATATAATGATAAAGAATATTTAATTTCATGGAATCAATGGAGTCATAATCAAAGACCTCATAAACGAGAAGAAGAAATTGAAAATAATGAAATGGAAATCATTGATGACATTAAAGAGGATGGAATTCCTAAATTTTGTAGAAAAACCTTTAGAACTAAGTTAGGAGCATATAAACGTAGAGTATTAAATCCTGAATATCTTAAACATTTATTTAAAAAGGAAGACTGTGAATTATTAAACGCTAATGAATATGAAAATGCTAAATCAAAACTGAGATATAAATATATTGGAAGAGATGAAAGGTGTAAAGATAAAGATAAAGTTTATTCAGTTTCATATAATAACTGGCACACGTTAGGGATAAGAAAACATTTAGGAGATTATGGGAAATGTTCTGAATTCTTTAAATCTAGTATATACGAGAGAGTAAAAGAAATTAGAAATAATTATTTTCATGAATAAAAGATTCACTACCATAATGAAATAAAAATTTTTTTAAAAAAATAAACCATTAAAAATTCATGTCTTACATTTATGAAAATTTATTTTTATTTTGTATGAAACCGATTTTAAAAATTTATGAATAATTTATAAAAAGTTTTTATTCCTACAATTCCTATATTACCATTAATAAAAAGAATATATTTTTGACGAAGTGAAGATTCGCACTTCGTCACAAAACTCCGAAAAAATAAAGTTAGATTTTTTTATTTAATATAAAATGTATGGAAAAAGAATAATATCTGATTTTGAACATTATTTGATTGATTTACTAATTGATCCACAAAGCTGTTGTAAAATTAATTTTGAATTTAAAATTAAAGGAACCGTAAATTTTGTATTTATTTATCACTTAAAAGAATATGACCGATATCATAATTTGATATATGAAACTAATATAATATTTGAAGATAACAAACTTACAAGCTTCGAACATGAAAATGATATAATATTCGAAGATGAAAAAAAGAAAGAGATTGAAAAGCAATTCAATGAATGCCTTTTAAATACATATGCGCACATTATAAGACATAAAATGAAATTAATTCCTTATTAATCAAAAATATTTTTTATCTTTATATAAAGATGACAAATAGAAAAATAATTTTTATCTGATAGAAATAATACCTACAAATGACGGTATATAAAAAATTGACTTCTTACGTAAAATTAAAACTAAGTTAAATTTATTTTTTTTATTTTTTATTTTATAATAAATGAGTATAACAACTAATTCATTGAAATCTTTAAAGTTCACTAATTCAGAATTAGAAAATATTTTAGAAAATTTTGGAGACGGTTCTTATCCAACATATATGCAGAATGTGAAAGAGTTTTCCAGATTGTTGAATGAATTTAAATATAACGGACCAATTACTAAAAAGGCTATAATGAGATATTTATATCCCAAAAAAGTTGAAAAACAGGAGAATATTCCTCTTTATGGTCCAGAGGACCTGGGCTCAGAGAGCCTTGAAACACCTCCTGAATATTTTGAAGAAAAAATTAAACAAGATGAATATTATAACGATGAGATTGAGAAATTGGAACAATTAAGAAATGAAATAGATGAAAGAATTAGTGAATTGAGAAATGCTGAGAATGAAGTAGAGGGTTTAATGAATATCCCAGCTTCAGAATCAGAAGTTCAAAAATCACATGAGGAAAGATATAAAAATTACTTTTTGGAATCTACTAAAAATTTATTAGATGGTGATATTGACGAAACACTTTCAGAAGAAGGCACAAAATTTATTCATAAACATAAGCTTCAGTTTATTGACGATGGAGATTATCCATGTATATTACTTTCACCTCCTCTTGATTCTGAAAAATTCAAAAAAGCACTGAAAAATGTAACATATGCAACAAATACGATTAAGAAAGAAGACCATGATATTTACACAAATTATTATTTAAATAAATGTACAGGTGTTGATAAAGTTTTTGATTTGTTAGATAAAATATCAAAAGAAACAATTGGTACATATAAAATTTTATGCGATTGTGGTTTCATTATTGAAGATACCAATAATGTTTCATATGAAAGAACAGCACCGAAGGAAGACGAAGTGGAAAGGTCTATACCATTCGTTATTAAGAACATAAAAGATATGAAAACTTATAAACATTATATTTATTCATTTATTTCAGAAAAAATGGAAGCAACCCATAAAACATCTTCTCATCATTTTATAGCTATTCATACATTCCTTTTCAAAGTTGTGAAATTAAATAAGACAGGAATTAGATTTAATGTATCAGGGTACGCATTCTTGAGTAAATTAAAATGTATTCGTCACGTCGCAGATGATAAAAATTTATGTGTTCTTAATTCATTTTATGGACTTTAGCCCTGGACTCTCTGAGTCTCGGACTTTAAAAAAAATAAACTTTATTTTTATTTATTTTTTAATTTTTATTCTTACATAAATGAAAAAAATGGAACAGCTAAAATGAATGATAATCAAATAAGAGCCGAAGGTAGAAGGTTATTTAAACGCTTCTATAACATTCCTGATGGTGTTAATCCTAAAACTCGTAGAAGTTATTTAAATGAAGCCATAGATGCATATGAAGGATTTGACATTTCATCAGAAAGTGAGAGGTTAGCAAGAATGTTAAACGTTAATATTGATTTTTATTATTGTGACCCTCAACCAGAAGACGTAGACATTAACAAGGTAGACTTTCCATTAGTGGAATCAATAATGATAGATCCAGAATTTGAAACAGTAAATATTTTATTAACACAGAGTCCATGTGGAAAACTTCACGCTGACAGAATTACAGACGTTGAAGCACTCACAGGATATAAAGTTTGCCCCTTTTGCAAAGAAGAAGTATATTCTATCCGTGATGATCCAGAAAGGAAAAACCAAAGAAGATTTTTAAAACATTGTGAGAAATGTAAAGAAAATAATGGAAGATTAATTCAAGACGTTCAATTGCAAAACACACAACAACCATATGCACCACATATCACGAAACAGAAGATATATCAGTGGTTATTAGCACATAATTTGCAGGAATATTATAAACCAACAAGATATTATATTACTTTTGACTTCGAAACATTAGAGACTAAAGAAGAACTTCAACTTTCTGAATGTGCAACTTTGAACGCTTACTTAAAACCATTTATGGTATCATCAACTGTCAAAATAAAGCCGCAAAGCGGCGAGGTCGTAGACCGTGATAAAACATTTACGAGGAATTTTTGCTTAACATCAAGTGATTCGTTCATCTCTGATTGGATTGAATTTTTATTTTCAACCTGTTCATTAGTTGCTAAATCAAATATTGAACAATATGAAGAATTAATGAATACATTAAATGAGAAACAAAAGGAAGCAATGAAAGAGCTTTTAGATGAAGAATTTAATAAAGTGAATATCATTGGTTTTAATTCGGGAAAGTTTGATTTAAATTTAATTCTTCGTGATTTAAATACTGCAAAATGGAAGATAAAATCAATGCTGGGTTCTTCTTCTCAATTTAAGCAAGTCATAGTAAAGAAAACAAACTGTCCATATGAATTAAGATTTATTGACATCAGAAATTATATAGCGGGTGGAACATTAGACCAATTCACTCAAGATTTCGGAAACAATAAATCACGTGTTAAATCCTTTTTCCCTTATCAATTCATCACATGGGAGAATTACGAAGATGAATTATATAAAAAGGAACCATTCACTCAAGATTCATTTTATTCAGCATTAACACAAGAAACAATATCCGATTCAGATTATCAAATATATCTCAATGATGCTAAAAATTTTGAGAATAGATTAGAATATTTTATTCATTATTGCAATAAAGACGTTGAAATTATGATTGACCCAATTGATAAAATTATCGAAGAAACATTTGTTTATAAAATTGACATGCTTCATAATCTTTCTTTATCATCGAATGCATCAATGATTCGTTACGCGTTAGCATATAAGAACTTCAATCCTAACGAAACATATCCAGAAGAAGAAAATGTGGAATCAAGTTTTGAATTAACAAAAAAGTATTGGAAATATAAAATTGATCATATAAGAAACAAGATGAAAAGGCGAAAAGAGATACCAAAAACAATGTTTCAATGGATGACTATCAATACTATCACGATTTAATCCTTTCATCTAAATGCAAAATGTGTGGTAAAGCGTTTACATATGTAAATAAACCAACATTGGATAGAATCGATAATGAAAAACCACATACCAAAGAAAATTGTCAG